TCCCTTAAACTATTTTCAGGGAAATAGGTTTCTCAAGCCCAGTAGGTGTTAATGTGCTTTCCAGTACTGATTGGGGCTTCCTTCTTTGTATTTTGTTTGGGGTAGCATAGGATGTCAGCATCTTGATTATGTCATTATTTTCTCTTTGAATCACGTGCTATCCATTTTAGTTGTTTCTGCTGTTGAAAGTCTTCAAATGTTATGGTTTCTGTTATCTGGTTTATGATTCTGAAATGCCAGTATACAATGTTTGAAGGATAGTCCTTGCTGAGAATTACATGCTTCCCTCACTGAAAGCCATTTTTAAGCAATGATCTTAGAAAGTGGTTGTATACAGCCAACAGTTCATATATTTCTAAACAAGTCCGATGCATCTCAATCTGACATGAGCTATTTAAGAACATGACTCATTTTTAGGTTAAGATTGCAATATGAGAATAAACATTCATAAATATTCAGAATTGGGTTTCCAGTTTCTTCTAAAATCTTATTCTCTTTTACTCGCAGTAGCCCCTTGCATCTAAGTGGCATTGCCACCTGACTTGGGGTGCTTTTGACCAGAAGTGGAGTAAACATTGCTCCTCATTTTAGATGGGAGAAGGTGCCTGCTCCTGGCAATTCCATGTCTGTGGCAGCACCTTCCTCATTGTGGTAAGAGAGGTGGGGTCAGTGTAATACCGATGACAGTGCTTCCAGAGGCAGGGCAAAATTTTTTGTCTTTGGCCCATATGCATATGTTCTGTATGTAAAAATGACCTTGTCACATCCTGTCTTAGTAGAGAGGCCAAGTAAATGAATTGAAAAAAAAAAAATGAAAAAAAAAACAACCCAAAGACACATTGTTGTGAAAATGTTATTTTAAGGAAATATTTTATTGATACTGTTAAAAAAAAGAATTTTTTTTATTATAAAATTGAGAATAAATGTATTTTTGTTTGTGGAATATTTTCAAGTTTTGGAAAAATTCAACAAAACTGGACGGAAAAGTTTCATAATGCACATAGTTGGCAACGAAACAAATTTTTTTCTCAATCTTTGTTCCTTTTGTTCTTCCAAAATGCTTATATACACAGTGCAATGCACCTCAGCAGTTGTTGGTCAGAGATTTTGCAATAGAAATAGGCTCTGATGTTTTAAGAAAAAATATAGAAAATATCTCAAAAGACATAGTAGTAGGTTAGCAGCCATGAAAGTGCAGAGAACAATTTTTATTTAATGAGGAGCTGTTGAAAAGTTCATGGCTCTTTCCACCATTTAGTATTCGCATGTCTGATCATTGAAATGTTCACTTTGGGAAGTGGGCCAAGCCGAGAATTTTTCAGGATTCTTTCATATGTAATATTAATAAACAACATAAGAATATTGTTAATTTTATTCTTGTAAGATAATTATTGGTATGCACATTCATGTAATTTGTTAAAAAATAAATAAAATTGATTAAAATGTTGATTTTTTAAAAATTCCACTTTAGTTTTGAATTCCAACAAGGATGTTTTGTTAGAAATTTTTTGTTCTGAAACAAAAGCTACATGTACAGATCTAATGCCAAGTGAATACCTGGGTAGAAATAGTCTGAAAACGGTCAGCAATAGTAAACCATTGATGTATTAGAACCAAGAATAGAGTACATTATAAAACTAGTCTACTAAGATTATTTTTAGGGGTCATAAATAAGGCAACCTGATGTATGCACATCTCAAAGTTTTGTTGTTTGAATAAAACTTATATTAACCAATTCAGTATTTTTTGTAAGTCTTATTATTATTATTATTTTTAAACTGGTTGAGGGAACTACTAGGAGAAATTAATCAGAATTCAGTCAAATTAGAAATACTTGGAAGACCTATTTTGTAACTGAGAGTTGTTTATTACATATTGGTACTAGAAATCAGTGTTCAAATTCAAATTAAAAACAGGGTTTTGAATCCTGATTTTCAAGGCATTATTTGGAACATTTGTGCAACACAATCTTCCTATTCCCATTTGATCTGGTTACAGACTAAGCTAAACTTTGTCAATAGCATAATTTGGTTTGAGTTAGTAAGTCTACTAATAAGTTCAGATTCTAATGCCTGTTTTTTAGTAGTAGTAATATATAGTAATATATAGTGAGACAAAGTTAGCAAATGGAGCTACATTTGAAAGCCCAGCATTACTAAATTTTGAATTAACTTTTTTATTGTTAGTAGCCCAGCTTATTTTAAAAGTCTAAAAATTGGAAGAAGCTAGACTTTTAAGAGTAACTCAATTTGGCAAAACTGCATTAGGTTTATAGGATTTTAGAAGTATATAAATAGTAAAGTTGTAACAAAATAATTCTGTTGTAAAATCTATTTTTTTTAAAACGAGTGTGGTGGTCAATGAATTTTTCTTTTTGCATCTATTTAACTGATAATCTTAAGAATTTTATTTTGCTTTGAGCTACAAATAATTTTAAGTTTTTACTTTGTCAAACTTAGTAGTTGCATTTTAGAAGCTTTTACTCATCATCATCCGACAGCAGTCAGGGATCATCGAGCCAATGTGAATGATCCTTTCCTTAGCTGTATAGTATGTGATACACCAGGGCTACATACAGTTTTGAAGTCAAAGTTACTTTCTCCTAGACCAGTTGCCACCCAAGGCTATAAAACCCAGACTGTCCTGCTATTTAGCCATAGCTGGGGGGAGAAGAAAGGTATTCATCCCTTTCCCAAGTGTATTAGCACATAAATGAATGTAATGAATTGAACTCCCCAGAGTCAATGGCCATCCACACCAAGTATGAGTTAAATAGCCTCACCAACCCACAATTGACCAAGCTATACTCCTGAAGACTCCAAAAGGAGTGAGTAGGTCCTGGATTTGGATTTTTTGGAAATTATTAATAAGATACAATATCCTTACTAAGTGGATACTAACTTAAAATAAAATTTAATAAACTTGTAATTCCTGGATAAAGATAAAAATTACATAGAATTTAAAAGAATATTAAGTATTCATCTACAAATCTCGGCTTTTAAGCATGAATTATTATAAATTTTATATTTTTCAAGTAACATACTTTAAAATGGAGTTGTGTACTTTCCTATTAAATATTTGCATGCATTTTGTGTCTCGTACTAAATCCGCACGCCAGATATAAATAAAAGGACAACATATCAAGTAGTCTGTCAGTGTGATAGTTCACATTCTTGAGTAACAGTCCAAATTGAAGTAGTAAGTGGAGTCATTAAGAAATCTTTCCATGTCTAGTCTATGTTCCTTTTGTACAAAAAATGTCTTCATAAAAAGAAATTGGACTATAAAACTAAAAGAGAATTAACTTTTGTAAAACAGCCCAACAAGTTTTGGAATATAAAATTTGAGATTTACACATTTATCTGCTTTCTTCTTTTGCTCTCCTTTTTTTTTGTAGATGAGTTGAATATTTTAACAAATTTTTATTTTTATTTGGTATTTTGTGATAAAAAGTCAAAAACTGTTGCCAAAATAATTACTTCTTCCAAAGAAACGTTTTATAATTTACTTATCCAGAAAAAAAAAACATTGAATGCAGGAATTAATTGAAGAAAAGCATTGTACCTAAATTAAAACCATATTCAGTCTTGTTCCTTTTTATTTACCATTAAGAATTTCAAGTCTATTTTCTTACTTGGAAATTAATTTTTTTTTAATCATTTCCCTCCAAGCAAGGTAGGAATGCCACTAATACTCAGGGGGTTACAGGGAGTGAAAGTGAGAGAGAAGTATAGGGAGGATTGAGGAAAGGACAAAAGATCAATGGGATTCAAGAAGACAGAAGATGGTTACATTTAAATTTTTGAAGATTGTAGTTATCAGGGAAGCAAGGAAATGGAAGGAAGTTCTACAGGCAGGAAGTGCAAGAAAAGAAACTGTTGGAGTAAAAGTGGCAGTTGCATTTAACTATTTCAACAGTAAACGGGTGGGACCTGGATGCCAATCTAGTAGCACGCTTCAATTCATGTAGTTGGGTCACTAGGGAAAAAAAGCTTGTCAGAGAAGTTGATGAATTAGAGTGACCTAACTTTGTCTTACTAAGGTACTGTTTTGAGAAAATAAATTTTCCTGTTTTCTAGTAGGATACAGTTTTGCAACCTGTGAAAATAATGTCACTTTGAAATTATTATAAAAGAAAAGTCTATTTCACTTGGCATAAATGATGGATTTTAAATGTGTTGGTTTTAGTTTAATCAGTAAATGTAAAGTCAAATGTGGCTCATGTCACATAATATAAACATAATAAATATACTTTAGCAAAAAAATGTTTGCTTGGGTACACATGTCTTGATTTGGATTCAATCACCATCAGTGGTAAACAGAGGCAGCTGAGAGGACAATATGGAGACATGGGATCAATCAAGGCAACTGATCTCTCAAAAACCAAAAAAAAAAAGAAAAAAAAAAGAAAAGAGGCAGCTTTGCAAGACTAGAGTCTCCACTGGTTGCGTAAGCCTCACTCCTGCAGTTGACATGGAAAAGAATTCATCTCTTATCTGAGAACCTGCAACAGAATTTAAGATAAAAAAAATACACTAGCTAAAAAAGTGTGAATTAAAACCTTAAAAATAATGAAGTTAATAAAATTATGGCTTTTTTTTTTGCACACTAATCACAGAAATCTAGAGCCAATTGCTTTGGCCATATGAATAAATTTAGGGCTTCTGGTGTAGGCACTTTGGTGTATAATTTCAACAATGGCCAAAACCAGAATGGCATTTAAATAAGACATTTGGACACAACTCACAAGCCTTTTGACAATGCAATCAATAAAAAAAGTGAATTATATAAAAAATATTTTGTTTTTAGTTTTTTTCTTTCCTTTAGTCTGACTTTTCAGAAGAAATTTGTCCTTTAATTGTTTTTTCACTTTTATTTTTCCCCACTCTCGAAAGTTCTTGTTTTCTGTGAGGCATTTGAGCTGTAAGAAAAGGAGTTTTTCTTGAGGTCCTTTTGACATTATTCAATGCAGACAAGGTCAGCAGTGAAGTGGAGATGACCATGGATATTGTATACTTATTTGGTTGTTGCTGTCCAACTTGAGACGAGGTGGTCTTGTCCTTTTTAAAGGAGTTGAAGACCTGAGAGGCTCAGAAGGAAAGTTATCCATATGGTGAGTAAAACAAAAAGTGGTCAAGGAAAATTGATCATTTTTATCTTTTACCTTCAAATATATTTATTAACTGAGAAATACACTGCATTGGTATTACATCATAACTCTTGTATCTATAAATATCTTTAATATGAGTAAGCATTAAAATTATAATCTTTTTTTTGAATGTGGCATTTTTACTATTATTATTTGTATTACTAGATCTTTATATCTTGTTTTTAATCACAAAAATCAGATGTTAAATAACTATTCCTAGATAACAAATCAAAGGTGGCATAAAGAACTAGAGAGTGGGGTGGGTGGCAGAACAACAACAAATTTGGACTCTGGTTAATCATCAAAGCTTCTGTTGCTGAAGTCATTAAGATAACATGCATAGAAATGGCTAACAAGATGTGGAATATTGATTCAGGTCTTTTGAGAAACTATTTCTTTATTTCCAATTTTTTACTGTTTACTTTGAAACAATAAAGAGTTTGTTGATGCAAAATGTTGTAGTGAAAGTCCTAATAATAAAATGGAGAAAAGCTAGTAAGAAAATAGTAAACATTCCAACATGAACAAAGTCACATACCTTCAGCAGAGTTAACTCTAAGTTGTTCATGTACATGCATACACACACACACACACACACACACATATACATTGCAACAAGTGCACAAAGGGAATTAACTTGTGCACCTAGCTCAAATAATTTAATAATACTTATTTTATATTGATTTGATTTTTTGCAGCTTATCAACCCTTTATAGTTTATTTAAAGCAGAAAATATTTTTAGATTATAAGAATATTTTGGAGATAATAATGATTTACTGATAGAAGTCCTACTATTTAACCCATAGCTGGGAGGAGAAGAGGTGGATTCATACCTTTCCAAAGATTATTTGTGCATAAGGGAATATAACGAAGCAGATCTGAATTGGCAATCAGCTCTCTGATTTCCAATTCCAAGCTGTTATTCATTACACAACCCACACAGTTTACAGCATCTGGTCTTCCCAAATGGTCATCCATCTAGGGAGTGACCAGACTCAACATTGCTTAACTTAGGTGATTGTACAAGAACGGGTGTTTCAATGGCTGTAAGCCAATACTAACTGAAGGAAACATCTACATGAAGTAACAGTACAAAGCTTGTTATAACAATAGTAAAACGATTCCTTCCTCTTGATGGTGAGTTTTGTCTGCTTAATTCAAATCCTTCCACTTTTTTTTATACCAAAGTGAAAAAAATGAAATAACAAAAACAATTTCTATTTTACAATTTTTTTTGTTGTCAATAAAAGATTTACTCTTATTATTTATTGTCAGTACCAATTAATAAAGAAATTAGTAGAGTAACAGAAAAACAAAATAGATTCTATTTGTTCCAATGAAGAAATACTATGAAAAATAAACAAATATATTTGATGGGAAAAATTATTTTGTTCTTAATAATAAAAGAGAAAATAATAGAAAAGTTATGACTTGTAATATAAGAGAAAATAATGGGATTACAAAGATAATTATTATTGAGAGAAATCCATTATAACAAAAAAGAGCAGATGCCTTCTGCCATCACCCACAAAAAGAACAAAAACAAAAGCTTCTAGGAGTTAAAAACCTTCTTGTGGGACTAATTTATACCACATTTGAAAACTGTACATAAAAAGGTTTTGCTGTGTATAGTGAACAACTTTTAAATAGGTACCTCCACAGAAATGTAATACCTAAGGTATAAAATGAATTTTAAAAATGAAAAATCTTTCTTGAAGCCTTTATTTTAATTTTAATTTCTAGCTAATAGATTAAATTTAATATTTCCAATAAGCAAAATACTTTGCTGCATTTAAAAACTAATTTAAATTGAATGAAATGAATTTTTGTTTTGAAATTACTAAAAATGCTGATCTTAGTGCCATTTGTCATCATGATGTAATTCTTTTTATTATAAATCTTTCTAAAATAAAATATACTTTTTGAAACTTTATTTGAAGAATATTAGCTGATTTCAAGTTTAATTAATCTGACTTGAAACAAATATTACTTTAAAATATTGCTGAAATGCATTTTTTAACACAGCAGTAGCTGTTTATTTAAGATACTGACAGCTGAAAGTTTATCTAATTTTTTTTCTACAGAGGATATATCAGTAAAAATTACTTGAGGAATATATGAGCATCTTTTTTATATAATTTTTAACAATTCAGTAATCTTAAAAATTTAGGAAAATATTCTCTGTAATCTAATGTTTTATTGAATTTTCAGATAATTTGGCTTTAAATTTATTATAGTTATCGCCCTTATTTTCTGATAATTTTGTGTATGGACATCTGTATTTATAAAAATTGACACAGTTATACACATAGAAAAAAAATTTAAAATTATTTTTAAAATATTAGGGGACTTGCTAAATTGTAATTTGCTTTTCCATTTATGTTTAGTAAATATAGTTTTTTCTTGATAACAATTAAAATTTAAAAATAATGAAAACAATTTTTATAAAAATTCATTATGCATACAAAAAAATTTCTTAAGACAATAGTGTCCATAATATATCTTATTCATAAAAGCAATTAAAAGATTTTCTAAATAAATAGTATCTTAGTTTTATTGCAATTTTGTATGTATTTATGCATGTACATATACACTTATACAATTAAAATAAATTCTTAAGTACACAGGCCAAAATTTGTATATATTAAATTTGTGTTTATGTGTCTCCATTTCCTTCATACACACAAGTGAAATGTATCTACAGGAGTGATGCTCAGGTATTGTTTCTCGGCTGAAACATCATCACCAACAATCTATGTTATACCAGTTAATATTTCACAGTACCACCTGACTTAGTTGCCTGCTTACACATGCACAAATGTAATTATACAGAATTTTGGCCTCTATACTTATGAATGTAGCATAATTGTCAGGTAGAGTTTTTGGTTTGTTTTTATATAATGCCAGTTAGTCAAACTCCTTATAAAAATTTCATCTAAAAATTAAACCATGATTTTAAATTAGGCAAAAGTTTCTCTAATATTTTACTCCAAAATTCAGTATGGCCCCTGTAAAGTCCAAGATACTCATCAAGTCTACAAACACTGGACTATTATGTATAATCTTATGACACATGCACATTGTACCAATCAAATAAGCTCAAATATTTAATACAGAATTGCTAAAGATTTTTCTGCTTAATTCTTGAAAAGCTGTGACTTGTTAATAAAATTAAATTATATATGAAAAGCAAAAATCAATTTGCTTAATATGAAAGGATATTTTAAATTTGGCATATCAGTTGTGTAAAGTTGGGTGAAATTGGTTAATGAGGTTTTATCCTGCCGAGGAAGTGGATTTCTCTGTTCAGGCAACCAGTCTGCAGCAGAAACTGTGGGTTTTATATTGCTGATCCTTCGTAAATCACGCAGCAGATCTCTAAAAGATATAAAACCATCAAGAGAATCAAACAAAGAAACACCCTGAAACACAGATAATATTTCCCTTTTGATTTTGGTTTAAATAATATCTACAATGCCCAAAATTTAAATGAATCTACTAATGATCATCATCTGATCTTATCAGATAAATTATTTCATATGAATCCTGAAAGACGGAAAATATTTACATTTTTGATATAAAGACTTTCTAACTACAATGACTTAATTATATCATGCATTAGTGTACAGACTTTACATTACTACCACTAGAGCTTTTTTATTTTAATCAAACCAGTCTTTGTATCACCTTCCCAACAAGGTGGATTTGATTAATATATTGTACAAATTTTTTTTATGATTTTGCACCAAAAAAAAATTTATATATTATATTTATTAGTAAAATTATATTAAATATAATTATTTGATAAATTCTTGAAAACCTGATTCTAAAGCTAGAAACTATATCTAGAATTTTAAAGTATTTTCATCTGTTTAAAAAAAAAAGATCTTTAATCTGCTTATGGTAGCTCTTTTTTGTTTGTCTTAATGTGTGTGTGTGTGTTATGATGCAATTATACATATATGTTGTAGATTAGGACTCAGCATACTTCCTGCTCTTCCTTACTGCTGTGACAATGAACTTCACCCACTTACAAATATGGCAAGTAGCCACATTAGAGGAGTAGTTGATTTACTCAAGTATTTCTGTTCCATGTATAAGTATTTAATTTAATCTTCTTTTTTTGTTCTCCCTACTTAGTCTTCAGTTCCTTCAATATTCTCTCTAACTATAGCCTTCCAAATTCTTGGCTATTTTGAACAAAGACAATGTTACAACAATATAGAATATAGATACAAAAATTACATAGCACTAACTTCTGAACCATAGAAAAAGTTCTGACTTACTTTGCTGGAACATATTGAAAAGAAAAATTGGAAGGAGTTAATTTGGGGCCTGAAATAAAAAAAAATTTCAATTTGGTAAAAAAAAATAAAATTCAGAAACATGAGTGTAAAAACATTACCACTCACTAAAGATGATTTTGAGATGAGCACACTAGTTGCTACATTAAGTAAATAACTGAAAAAATATCAACAGTATGATTACAAGATAATCCCATAAAGGAACCTGTAATGAAGTTTTTAAATCAAATGCAAATTGATATCAATAAATAAAATTTGAAGATGGTTCTTTAGCAGTGGTCTATTTAATTTAATAAAACTCTACTTGATTTTAAATCCCTATTTACAATGTGCAGATTTCTAATAAAATAACCCCTTTTTTCTTTTTATCTTTATCATATTCTTTTCAGGTTTTCATTGTTCACTTTATCTTCATAAAGATATGAAAGATGTTCAAAAAGTAAGAATCAACCAGAATTGTCATTGTGAAAGCTGTAAACATAAAGCAACAGTTGGTATACAATACTACTTGTAACAGTTAGAACAGCCTTAATATTGAATGCATTTGTATAGGAACCTCCACTAAATCTTTGATACCTAAATTTTAAAATGAATTTTTAAGAATTAAAAAGCATTCTTGAACCTTAATGATTAAATTTACTATTTCCAGTAAGCAAAATATTCTGTTGTATTTCAAATAGAAATTATATTGATTGGAATCTCAACTTTTTGGTCACTTTCAGAAAAATCGATAAATATTGACCATTTTGACACATTTGTAAACAAAAGTTAATTCTTGGTTTTAAAAATTTTCCAAAAATAAAATATATATTTGTCATATGTTGTTTGAGGAAAATTAGTAAATTTAAAGTTAAATTAATCTGATTTGAAACAAATATTACTTACTTATAGCATAAAATGTAGTATACAAGCATTTCTTATCTACAATGTCTTGTTTTTCTGACATGCTGATTGATTTATTGGCAATCTAAGTGAATGCTTTGTTTTTGGTTAGCTACCTAATAATTTTAAAAATTAGCGTAATATTTTCAGCAATTATCCAGTATTTTATTGAATTTTAGTTACTTTATAGCCTTACGTTTTTATCAAAACAACTCTCAAAAAACAGAATAATCTTAAAAATAAGTAAAAAGTAAAAAAACTACTAACAAAAAAAATTTTTTTTTATGAAATAGGAATTAAAGTAGAAATAATTTGAAAGGAAATTTCAAAATTAAAAAATAAGAACTTCTAATAGAAATTGAATAAGAAAAATTTAATTTAAGTTAAAGTAGAAAATTATTTTTTTAGTAGAATTATATTGGATTTTGTCTCCAGGTACTTTCTAAACTAAGTGAAACTAAAAAGAAAAATTAATTAATAGAAGTATGACCACACTAAAATAAATACATAAAAGAAAAATATTTAGTGAAATAGGAATAAGAAAAGCGGGTATTGGATTCTGCCAGAATTAATTAGTGTCATGACGCGACAAGGGAAACAGAATATGCATAAAGAATAACTCTCTGCCCACACATATGCAATAATAAAAATTTCAATTCGGCCAGCGGCATACAAAGCAGAATTCTAGAAGATAATTGAAACTGGGTCAAGCATGCGACCAAGAAAGAATTAGGTGAGACCACCCCAAAAAGAATAGCCATTAATTATCTTTCGGAGATATCATTTGGTTTTGGTTCTTGTGTCCAGAAGAAGACCCATCTGTTGTATGTTTGGATCTTTTCATAAGAGTTAAGCGCCAAGGGGAACAGAATACGGATAAAGAATAAACAATCTGCCCACACGTATTGCAGTGATAAAAATTTGGTTATCTTAAAAAAAAAAAAAAAACGATGAAGAAAGCCATCGTTACTGCCTGTACAAGCTGTTGGCGACAGAATGCAATGATATTGAGACAAAGAGATTTGGTGAGCACCCAGTTAATAAGTCAGAAAAAATTCCACTAATGAATTCCAGGTGACCCCAAGTTAAGATAACAAAAATTTAATGTCCGCAGTACAATACATAAGAATTCTAGCCGATAGAAAAGAAAGAAAGAAAAAGGAAGATAATTTTTTTTCCTTAGGCGATAATTGTAAACTGAGGCCAGTCTAACCACACCTACACTGCCGAGCGTTCATTGGCTGAGTGGTGGCGTGAGTGATGGGCGAAGGTAAACATATGAGAAAGAGGGGAAATTGTTGACGCCCTCTGAGGGGATTGGTGTGAGATACCAATATGAGAAAGGAAGAGTTTAGGAGGACCCCCTCTAAAACAGAAAGTAATTGACTTCCAAAAATGGGAAGTGATAAATTTTCCTGTCTGAAGACAAACAAAATCCTTATTGGGGATTTGGAATTATCAAAGAATCCAAACCACGACAGGCCCCCATCTGGTTTTGGTTGGCGTCCATATAAACAAACGTCCCCAGAGCTTCAAACAGTTACAGTTGAGTTGGGTTGGAGATCGGAGACGCACGCAGATCGACAGAGAGCTGTGAGATTGGAGATCAGCTTCACAGGAGCTGACTGAAAGATTTCCATGCATTCCGACTTAGACTTCTAACCAAAAGCATTTTTTTTGAAGAACGATTTAGACTCACACCACCAAAACAAGTTTTAACGAATATCACCTGAAGATACCAAAAAGCAGTTTATTGAAAAACAACTTAAGTTATCAAGACTCGCCTGGGAAACGCAAAGTGTCACGAATACATAGAACCAGGTTGGGAGAAAGATGCAGTCCTGTATTCAGCAAACAGATATAAAGATACTTGTTATTTTTTCAACACATTTGAACCTTTTGAGTTTGTTTCATTATTTTTCTTTTACATACACTTGTGCAGTATCACCTTTGCCCTGGATTCAGCTTGCACTATGACCTGACGTCTTATTGATTTTGTCTACCTAAGATCAAATCACAACGTGGGTAGCTTAGACTAGAAATCAAAGCAGTTACTTTGGTAACCAGACGTTGGAGGTAAGCTGGGAACAGCAAGGTTGATATCCAATCTAACCAGACATCGACCACAACAACCAGAGGGGTTAGTGTTACACATGGTTCTGTGGTAAACCAGATTTCCATCCAAACCAGCCAAGGGTTAGATCGTCACAGATGGTGCTGCAGTCAGCCCAGGGTTAGAGGCATCACAATTGGCGGCCGTGACCAGGACTGACCGGTGATGTCACAATTGGCGCCGCGACCAGCACAGGCCAAAGAGACCCAGGGTGGCGTCACATTTGGTGCCGTGACCAGGATTGACCAGTGGCGTCACAAAAATGATATTTATTAAACTTTTCAATTTTTGATTCATAAATATAGTTTTCACTTCATAACAATATCAACTAATTGGATTAAAGTAATACAGAATTTGAAACAATTTAAATTATTATAATTAAAATTTTAAAAAAATGAAAACAATCCTTGTAAAATTATTTACATTATTCAGACTATTGTCCTCATCTTTGTCGCCATATTTATTACAATGTTTTGGCCGTTGTACACTCCGGCCTTAAGGTGGTTGGAATGTCGAACTGAACCCTTTCTTTCGTTCACTGGGGTAGACTGTTTTAGTTCCACTTGCCATGTTTTAATGGATGTCAGTTATCAGTTATCTCCAGTTAATTTCCCTCTGAAAGTTCTCCACTGCCTTAACTGTGTATTGAACTTACACTCTTTGGGTCCTGTCACTGGATCTAACTAATGCCTTTATTCACTATGCCTTGTGTCCTTGAGGACATCTGTGTATGAATTTCTGGGTATTATAAACCTAATGTCTTCAAGCAACCATTTTTTACCAGTGCTCATATTGCAATTTTTGCTGTTATCATTCCATGTTTTTACCAGAGCTCATATTGCAATTTTTGTTGTTATTATTGCTTTTCTCTGGCACTCCGTATTACTGGTTCCCATATTGTATTCATTTCTATGCTTGGTGGCCCAGGAGATTTTTGTGGCCTAGCATATGTGATGATTCCTTAAGGTTACAAATTTTCCAATGGTGTTCTTTGTCTATGATCTCAACCTGATCTCACAGAGGGCGATGATCTCCCTTCTCTCTCCATGTGGTCACTTTCTGGTGTTCTTGAAGCCTTACCTTAAGGGGGCAGCCTGTCTCCCCTTTATATTTTTTTCCGCTGCTGCACAGGATAGCGTACACGCAGTCTTTAGTCATGTTCTCCTCTATGGGGGGGTCTTACTCGGGAGAGATATCTGTGAAGTGTCATCAAGCTTTTGAAGGTTGTCCTGATGTTATATGGACCGCAGATCCTTTGTATTTTCTCTGAACCATATAGTTGGCTTTTTTACTTTGCTGTAGCTACCATTGCTAATGAGGTCTTCCAGCTTTCTTGTATAATCTGATTTGTTCCTTTATCGAATCCTTGTAAAAATTCATTATTCATTGAAAAAAACTTTTCTTAAGACAATAGAGTCCTTAATAAATCTTATTTATAAAAGTAATTAAAAGCTTTTCTAATTAAATAATGTCATAGTTTTATTGCATTTTTTATTTTATGATTTGGAGCATATTTTCAGGAAATGTGTAGTAGTTTGAAAGAAGAAAAAAAATGATTGATTTACATTCTCCAAGAAGCCCTGCTTTTAAATAATAAAAATAATTTTAAGATTGAAATTTAATTTCTCAAAATTTCATGAAATTAAGTGTGTGTGGGGTGGGTGGGTGTTGGTTAACATGTGTAAAAAAAATTTTTTTTACCAAGATTTTCTAAAAAGAAAAAAATCATTCCAAAAATAATTTCATTCATTTGTGAATAAGTTCTGAAATTTTCATTAAAATCTGACAATTATTTGATTTTTGCAAGAATTTCTAAATAAATGTTTTTTACCTGAAAAAAAAAAGGGTGCTAAAACACTAATTGTAAATATTATGTTGATTGCTGACACAAAAAAAAAATAAGATTTTTTTAACCCAAATTTTGAATGTGCTAGAAATAATTAAAAAATTCAACAAAATAATAAAAAAATACTTTGGTCTTTTTTCTTAATAATAACAAAGATTTTGACAACAAAACTTTGTTTTTATTAAGTTTGGTGCCTTTTTTCATCATGCTATGCTGTTTTTTCAGTGACAAAATGGAGATGCCTACATTTGTATATACCAAGTAAAATTTTATAAAAGAATGTTAATAACAGATGCAGAGTCTAAATAAATAATTTTCTTAAAATGTTCTAAATTGCTTGCAAAATGGTAAGGACAATTATTTTCAGAAAAAGTAAATTTGCCAATAATTATAGAATAGTAGAAATATATTTATTTGATTTAAGATCTTTAACGGCATTAGAGAAAAATCATTTGTGCACATTAATTAAAATTGTCACATTTGTATTTGCTGGGAAAATTGATAACAAAAAAATTTGTAAAAGATTGCTTTTTGTTTTCTTCTTTTTATTAAAAAATATGGAAACAAAAAGGGACACTTATATTTAACATCAGGAAGAGACAGCTGAAATTTCTAGGGCACATAATGAGGAAAGAGGGCTTGGAAAATTCAATACTTACAGGACATATTGAAGGCCACAGGGACAGAGGAAAACAATGCATAACCTACCTAGTAAACTTCAGGAGCAAGGTTTTGGAGATATAACAAAAAGATAAAATTTATTAACTACAAAGGACAGGAAATTGTGGAGATCCATGATTGCTAAAGTCCTGAAGGGACATGGCACATAGAAGAAGAAGAATTTTCTGCTTCAAGATAATCATAGATATAAAAGTAATTGTTTACGGTGGAAGGGAAACAGAAGGAGATTGTGAGAGATGTCTGCAAATGTCTTACCTTCTAAAGCCAACCTATTGCCAAGTTTTGAATTTCGTTGATGCATAAAATGAACATTGGAGCTACAAAGAAAAGAAAAACAAAGAAAAAAATATAGAAAGAAGAAAAATATGAGATTTTATTTTGTAATTCAAAAGTTTGGATAAATTGATTCTCTGTCAGTAACTGGGATATTTCAATAATGATCTGATAACAATACTGACAATTCATTATAATTATGTATCAAGTTCAACTTAGTCTGGCACATGGCCACAGTGATGTAACACCAAAAGATGACTAAATTCACTACAAAAAAGAAGCCAAAAGACATGTTTACTTACGTATTATTTGTAGCATGGTTTGGAAATTCTGAAAGGTGCACGTTGGATTGTAAAATAGCATTGGCTGCTTCCACAGGGTTAGAACAAACTGATACAGTAAAGAGAGATAAATTTAAATAGAAAATACTTCATTGAAAAATCAAAGGTACATTTTATTATTATTATTTAAATTATTTTGATCATCATCAACAGATTCCTGTGTTCAGTAGAAAAATTTATATGAACTCTCATAATGAAATATTTGAGAATATTAGATTATCAATCGCTTAGCATTAGTTGCAGTTAAGAAGTTAGTTATTCAGATTAAAAAGTTAGGAATAAAATGAATTAATGGTAAGGGGTGGTGGTAGTGGTAAAGGCATGAAATAGTATAAAGCATCAACATAAAATGCTGCACAGAATGAAGACAAAATTTAGGTGGTGTCTTTAGTGTGATGGTTAGTAATAGAGTGTAAAAGTCAATATTATTCATTTATATTTGTAACTAGCTTAAAAGCTGCCTGGCAGGGTGGCTTTTAAGCTAGCTCCTACTGAGGGCTCTTGATTGGGTCTTCTGTTTGTTCAGGAGTTTGATAAGTCTCTAAGTCTTTGCATATTCTCAACATTGGAAGCTCTCCTGGCTGCTGTTTGATTTAGGTTTTCATATGCACTGGAGATTTCTTTTTGTGATGCATACTGTTGACGTATGTGATAGGCAACAATAAACTAAAGAAGAACTCAAAATTGATCACTGCATTTAAGTATTGCAATTATATTTAAGCTTACCTTTTAAACGTTCAATGATAATTCCTCTGCCACCACTTAATTTAAAGACAGTTTGATGTACATAGGTCCTTACGTGCAATTAATTTCAAATTTATTTCCAAGTTATAAGAATTGTTATCATACCAATAAATTTGTTGCAAAAGATCATGTAAAAAATAATTGCCAAAAACAATCACAGTAATGAAAACTTGGGAATCCAAAATTTCAGGATTGTTGGTCCAGATCCAACCCTGAATGTTTTTAATTTGTTCATAGAGTCAGCCTGATTCTAAAATGGTATATGTTGGGCTACTGCCTCTAAGAGCAAAGTTGAAATATACTGAAATTCACATTTATTTATATAGAAACAGTTTAGAGAAGTTTTAGAGTAACTATATAAAATAACAAAAGCAGTCACGGTTCACTGGTTTGAACTGTTATACTACAAATTAATGAAACAGTGTATTTTCATTACAAAATGTACTTTGTAGTTTGTAGTTTGATTTGCTTTCTCTGAATACAATCTCCATTTTGGGGAGGGGGGAACTGAAGTGGGTCTAAAGTGGTGGCTCAATTTACATACATGTATGGTGCAAACTTGAAACCTGTCTTTAGTAGATATTTGATTTACAATGTAAATTTAATGCTAAGCTGGACCCGGATTTTGTTTCCATGTGCGTTATTTTAAAGAAAGCCTAAAAAGAAAAGAAAAATATAAAATTGCATTTTCTTTTGCTTTCAAGAGTAACTTGAGGTTAGGATTAAAGGCTAGTGTGAGCAATTTTCTTAACACCTTATTGTTTATTGATTCATTTTTTACAGCTTATCAACCCTTTACAGGTTATTTAAAGCCAGAAAATATTTTTAGATTATAAGATTTTTTTTTGTTGCAATAATAATGTTTTAATGATATAAATCTTACTAATTAACTCAGAGCTGGTGGGGGGGAGAAGAGGTGGATTCATGCTTTTCCCAAGGATATTTGCACATAAGTGAATATAAAGAACCCAACAAGAAATGAAACTCAGCTCTCCAGTTAACATTTCTGAGCCATTATCCATTACACCACCTGCAATTTCCAAGCAGTTACCCATCTAAGTACTGACCAGGGTTGATGTTGCTTAACTTCAGGGATCATATGAGAACTGGTATTTCAATGAGGTGGCCATAAGCTCTTTTAACACCTTGATTTGAATTTCTAGTTCCAAAGAAAAAGAATTAAATTTTATGCTATTATTCTTTTTAGGTTTCTGTGTAACAGGACAGGAGTCATAATAATGCATAAAACATTGTTTATTGACTTGAGGTATTGAGGGAGCCTGGAATACTAAGTGAAGGAATAAAAATGTCAAGTGGAAAAGATTATAGCAGATTAGTTAACCTGATGGAAAAAAGTTTGTTTTAAAAAATATTAACCAGAACCTATAAAATGTTTAGAGGAATGTCATCAGTGGGATTTGAACCCAAAATAAACCTTGTAAGATTTCGTAAGTTCAGTACAATTGAATTTTCCCTGCTCCAAATCTTATACCCAAGGAAGTTGCAGTGAGAAGATTAATGTGTTTACCAAAATTCTACAAAATCCAAACAAAATTAGGAAATGTTATTTTAGCGTGCTACCTAGCAGATTTCTTATCAAAATGTCTGGTCCTGAGTACTTTAGAAGTTTGAGTCCCATGTAACAGTAATAGGAAATTCTTTGTTTGGGGATAGTATACATAAATGCCATCTGCCAGGTGTACGTGTATATAAACCAAAGCATGTGGTGGCATAGTGAGTTCCCCCACAGTTGGTCAGGAGTTTGCACAGGGATTTTAGAGTAAGTTATCCCAGTGTTTGCATAATTTATTGCTGCAAGAAAGCTTCGTTACACTTTCTTTTCTCAGGCCAAAAGATATACCAACTCACAAACACATTTATCTAATATAGCAATTAGCCCTTTCTTGATATCTCAAAATCTTAGTGGAAAATTCAATGAAGTGTGACTGTAAACTTTTTGGACAGCTTATGCTGTTAAATTGTCAGTGATGGTTATACCGGCATTAATGTTGCTTTTCTGCTTATAATCTTTTGAGTAAGCTTCCAGGAAACCAAAAACCACTGCTCACCAAATTGTACAAAAGACTGATCTAAGATGTGCATCTCAGTTGGTACACAACAAATCAACACTAGAGAACTTCATCTGGGGACCAGCAGCAGATTAGAAATCTCCAATGAACAAAAAACAATCTAGGCCTACAATATAGATTCTTCACATTTGGTGCTAACTACAATAAGAGATAACTAGAAAGACCTGTAAAAATTTCAGTTTTCCTATTTGCATTTTCTGATGAATCTTAATTTTTAAGTTAATGATTGAATAAGCTTGTGGTGAGTTCTATGATGATAAAATATTCTTAGAAATTCCCCTATCATATTGTTAAATATTTGAACTTAACAACTTTAAGAAAATACTGCAATAACAATCATAAATATGAATGCTGGTCGTTATTTTAAGAAGTGGGTATAAATGAAAAGATTTGAAATTGACAACTTTTTCCATTTCACTGAAACAGACATTAAACACTTCTATCTTCCCTTCTTTGTTTCTTTCATTCATTTTTTCAAATAGCATCTCTGATATCTCTTTTGTTTTTCCATACAATCAAAATTGAATAGTCCATTATTTAAACACTTTTATCTTCCCATCTTTCTTACTTTCATTTTCTCATTGAAGCCAAGTAGTGTCTTTTCCCTTCATTCATCATGATCAAAATGGAATAGTCCATTTTTTATGAGGTATTGGCAGGACATAATGGTCATGTGAACTAAAGAACTAATTTATGGAGAGACAAGCGCAATTATTATATGATAATTGCTACTACAGTTAATAAGAGTGTGTGTATATTGGGTGCCCTGACTGAATGGATGGCCATATTTGTTGTCATGAACAAGCCGATGAATATACTTGGCTCTGTGACCAAGTTGGGGGGGAGGTATATCAGTATTTTAAATTTATGGATGTTATGTACTAACAACAAAAAAAAAAAAAACTCAACTTGAATAAAAACAAGCACAAAGCAAGTATTCAGTTTAGTGTAATAATTACATTGTCAACCAAACACCACCTTTAAGAAGTTAAAATCTTTCAGAAGAAATGGAAGTAATATTCATTCAAAGCAAGTAAAAGTATATTTCTCTACAAAAAAAATCCATTGGTTCTCTTGAACAAATTAAAGTTTCCAAAATTAAATCTACTTTACAATTTAATAGTAAGAAAATTGAAACATATTGAAGACATATCTTCATTCATAAATAAAACAAAATGCATGCAGTGTTTAATCAGGTGAAGACATGGAACCTGTAAAAACTTATGCTATCAAGAGAAAACAAAAGATATTATTTTCTGATAATTTCTACAAAAATGAAAATTGAAAAATAGAGGAGGAATTATTAATTGCGAACCTGGTGTTTGTTTGGCAGACAAAGCTGATTCATTTTCTATCAGTTTACAAAGATCTCCAATAATCTTTCGCAGATGTTGGTTGTCTGAAACAGCGTCTGGTTGAGAAATGCCATTTGGGATTTTACCATCCCCATTGTTTTGAGGCACAGATTTAGGCTGTGAATTACTTTGAGCATTTTTTAATACTGAAAATTAAGTAAATTAGAAAAAATAACAAATTTATCAAAAGATTTATTTTTAATGATGAATTTTTATATTTATTGTTGCAAGTAGCAAGGTCTACAAAAATTAAGAGAGAAAATGCTTTAAAATTGTAAATACTGCTGATTAAAATAAAGACAATATTGAATCAGTGAATAGACATTTGTATATAACTAAACAATTCTCTTTTGATATTTGTCAAAATCAAATAGTAAGTAATTCAAAATTCAAAGATAAAAATAAACCCTTTGAAAATTGTTTATAATTTTGAGAAGAGTCATTAACATTTCAATTTTTGTTTAGGCAAATTAACTCTTTCTTTGTATTGTTGATGTTGTTACAATATTTTAGCTAACCAGCTCTCCGGCCTTCTTCAGGTGTACAATGTGGAAGCAAAGAGGAAGGTTTATTTTTCTCAACTGGAGAGCAACAAAAAGTGGTCACTAATACACCAACAGAATCAGTTCATTCCAGAAATATGAGATATGCAATAATAATGATAATGATGATAGTAATAATATTTACTGCCACAAATGCAACTCAAGTGATTTTAATTCATATGTGGATGTAACTCCTTCTTTGATAAGACAAGAAAAACCATTCTATACTGAAATATACACTGGCCTGACCTACACAACATGCACATGGCTTCATTCAATTTCCCCATTCTACAGCAGTGTTTTTTGTCAAGTATCAGGATCTCATCTCAAAAAAGGTAATATGTAACTTTCTATCGCCAGATAAGGTCCAAGATATCAGATTATTTTAGCTCTCATTTGCATACTTTTATAAAGAGATTGTAATAAATGTTTTTGTTATTAAAAACCAGAAAAATGTCATAATCCACAAATCCTTTGCATCCATTCAGTTACATCTATTACTGCTTGCTGTAGCTATACAGATGATGACTGTGAAGGTCTGGAGATTCTTAAGTTGGGGGAATACCTCTGTGTATAAAGTAGAATTCATTTCTATTAAAAGAGTGGTCAGTGAATAGTATTATCTATATATCTTATGATGACAACATCAACAATACAGTGACAGAGTTCATGTGTCCAGACAAAGCTTGGAATAAACATCTATAATTTGAAGACAGAATTATTATATTACAAGTTGAAAGTTACAAATTTTCTTTTTTATGAGAATAATAATAATAATAAAAAAAAGATGTTAATTTCTGAGTGAACGTAGATGATTTTTGATTGCCAAAAGAAAGCGATGTTGTATTTTAAAAGGGAAGTCTTGATTATTTTAATTATCCATTTATTCTTATATTTTTTGTTTATTATATTTTTTATTATATTATTATACATCTATTATCTTTAATTATTAAAATACATATTAGTTTATTTTTTGAGATAAGTCAAGGTATACATTTATTGTTTTATTTTAAAATAAGTGTTATTTAGCAAGTTTACTTTATTAAGAATGTCTAGTATCACTAAGAATTATTATATTAAGAACATTTAATACATTGTATTTGTTAAATTACTTATACCCTGGCATAAATAATTCTACTCTTTTTATATTTAAGCATAACATTTCTATTTTTATGAAAGAAGACGTAATTTTCAAAATTGTAGGAAAAGCCATTACAGTCGTAATGTTTTGTATATCTTTGACTATTGGTTCAACATTGTCGATTTCTTTCCCTATCATTTTTCATTCAAATATTTTTAAAAACATCTGCCAATAATTGTCAATTTCTTCTTCTGTTATTTATCTTTCAAATACTTTTAACAATAATAAAAAAATGTTCTTATATATTTGATAATAATTTTATACTTTTATTATTTTCTTATTTATTGATTGGTTTCTATTATTATAAAGTAATAATAATAAGTGATGTGTTTGTTGATGATGAACTGTTTACTATGACATGTAATTTTTTTGTGATGTCAACAAACACTCGTTCCCATTTTTGTAATGTCAATGAATACTCATTGTCACTTCTGTAATGCTTGTTGTAATAGAGAATTTGTAATCGCAGATACAACCAAAGTACGCCATTGAACAACACTGATGTCAGACACTTTCGAATAATTACTTGCACTAATAGTACTTGCTTAATACTCGCTTGAACAGTAATCCATATAGTGATCTGAGTAGAGACTAGCGGTTCGTATAGTAATAGAGGATAGAGTAGAAATGGTGATCCAAATAGTAATAGAGGAGAAATAGTGATCAATTAGACGTCATGTGACTTTCTACTTATACGTTTCCTCTATGGTCACGTGGTCTACGCAATTCAATAATGGGATCACCCGTGTTTGTTCACTGGCGATCTATGTTCAAACTCAAGTTTTGGCAGCAAAACTTTATTCCTATATAACAAAATTATATATATGTGTGTTTATGGGTGTATCACCAGTGGTAGTACTTTTGCAGTAAAGTAGTCAATCCTGCTTTACTCAAGTGAATTGGGGCGCAGAATTGTATTGGTCCACAGCTTATATCCAACTCTCACACATGGCTCCAAAACGTCACATAGGCACTGTGACAGCCACAACCTGGTCAACTACACCGACCTGCTGGCTCAACTATGTGAGGGTATTCAAAAGGTTTTCCTGACCTCTCCCCAAACCACCTGTGCCAAGCAGCCATCAGCCAGTCACCAGCTTAGGTGTAGGAGCTGCACCTCAGAGATCAATGGCTTTACCAGTGGGCGGAGGGACTTCTAAGGGGAAGGACTCAACATCCCTGGTGCAAAAGGAACTGGCAAGCAATTGCACTATTTTGCCTTGAATGTCACCATGAGACACAATTACAATAGAAACAGAGGAGTAGTGACCACAGTGGTGCAAAATGTTCTGAGTGAATGAATGAGAATATAACTAGTTTTTAATAAAAACATGAGACATAATTTCTCAGCTAAGTCTTGATTGGTTTGCCATAAAAAAAAGTTAAACTGATTTTGAAAATAATTATCTACCTGGGCAAATAAACATTTGTTGATTGCATCTATTCTTCTTTTCATCTTTGTTATCTAAAACTTTGCTTTGGTGAACTAATAAGTATTTAGAATGGATAAAAACATTTATCATCATATTATTGTTATTTCTATTCAGACTATCGATATTCTCTTTTGTCATAACAAATGATTTTCTGTGAGATTTCATTTTTTTTTTGTTAATAGAATTTTTAGTATTTCTTTAAATAGTGAATAATATACATGTTATTTGTGGTTCCATTGTGCTAGAAACAAAATTTCTTATTAAATCACTGAAGCAATATAGATTGTTTAAGAATAATAATATTTGAAGTAAAGAAAATATAATTAGAGCTCCTTTTTAAAATGTCTCATTCCAGAAAGAAATTGGCCAGAACAAATAAAAAAAAAATAGAGCCTGTCATTAAAAATTGGGTCTTTTTTTATTATTTGTTTGTTTGTGAATGAGAAAATTTTTTTATAGTTTTATAGGAGACTGAACAGAAAAGTAATATCCATTGGCTGTCTTAACTCTTTTCAGATTTCAATAGGAAATGAAACAAAGAGTATATTAAAAGAGTCCGAGACAGTTAATATTAAATATGAACACCTGGGGTTTTCGTAGCACACAAAATGCATTATGGAAGGAAAGTATAGTTGGATTATGCTATGGAAAAGGGTGGGATTTCACTCGATAGGATAGACAACATATAGAAATCATATGGCATCTGCACTTACATTTGATCAAGTTATTGTAACTGTCATCATCTGTGGTGGACTGTTCATCTTCATCATCTCCCTCTGCTTCCAAGTCTACAGTGGGTAGATGAGAATCTGGTAGTGGAGCCTCACCCATGGAATCATTGTCACTTTCTACTACAGGCTTTGTAAACAAAGAATAAAAAGATTATTTAAAAGTTGACAAATCAGTAAAAGTAGCAAAAAAAGAAAAAAATTGTACTTCTACTGAATGTACAATAAAAACTTCTACTAGTATTACTGGAAGCAGTTTTTGCAACATTAACCCAGTAGAATAGCACAAGAGAGATTTTATTTGTTCTATAATGACTAATTACTAGAATAATGAGGTTAAATAAAATTATATAAAATTGAATAATAAAAAAGGTAAGTTGCTTATACAAAAAAAGAAAAAACTTATTATACAAAAATAAAAAAATTATTGCAAGCATTTATAAAAATGGAAGTTTTGAATAAACTACAATCAAAATGTGATAAAATATAAAACGTAAAAAATTATTTGATTTGTATATTCAAGTAAACAGTACATCAAAATAGAACAATTCAAACACTTTGTTAAAATCTAATAATGGGCAAGATATTAAAATACAATTTCATTGATTAAAAAGGATTTCGTGGATTTCCAAGACATAAAAATAACAATAGTAGCAACCATATTGTTAAGATAAAAAATATTTTGACACAAACTAGAAAAAAATTTCTATTCAATGGGAAATATATGAAAATAATTCAAAATTAGTGATGGCTAAAGCATTTGAAATTAGATTCAGAGAATGTATGCACATATTTAAAGATAAATGTTTCCTTAAGATAAATATTTCTAAACATATAACTTTTCCTTTCTTTGCTAATGTTATTTCTTTTTCAAACTTCTTATTTGAGTTACTTTGGTAATGCATAGATCATAAACAAATTTAATGCATTGTACATAAAGGATTTCTTAAGTTCTTGAATTATAAACCAGAGATTGGTAAAGTTTTTGGGAAATGGACCAGGTTGGTAGTCTAGGGACAGTGGCCTAATGAGTAAAAGCTTTGGTTTATGAATTTGGTCACATAGTGGCAGTGAGTTCAATCACTGGGCTGGGCAGTGTGTACTTGACTGAACATAGATTAAATAAAGAGTTCAGTTCATAACTTTTTCAAGCTACTTATTTGTGTTACTTTAGATCTTAAACATATCATAGATTATAAACAGATTTTACCCAGATCAATATACACCTGAGGAAGGCTAAAACATTGTGATAAAAACAACAAAGATGCATTAGTTTGTAGTGAACTTTTCATAAACTATAAAACATTCAGTTGTAAATGTGATGGACTGGTGATCCTGGGATAATGTTGTTTCTTTATAGGGATATTTTGTAATCGACATTGAAATGAACTTGTCTTGATGGTTTACTGTTCTGTTAAAAGCAAACCTTTCTTTTTCTTTTCCACTGACTGTGTTTATCCTGAGTCATGTTTTTCAAGACTGTTTACATAAAGTCCCATAACAAATAGAAATATCAAGTTGAATTTTACTACAAAATATTTTGGATCAATTTTCAGTGGAAGATGAAAAGTTTCTTTCTTTAATTTTGTGCCATATTGAAGGGTCTTAGTCTTCTTTTTTAAACATTTCACAACATGCAAAGCAATAGTGCCACTAAAATGCAAGGGGTTACTGAAGGTGAAAGAAAATGAGAAAGCTGCTTGTGAGGAGAAAGGACAATAAAAGAACAGGATTTAAGAAGACAGAAGATGGTAATTGATGTTGCCCATAAATTTATGAAGCCATATTATGGCAGTGGAAATGTGACTAAAACTGAGGTGCCAGGTCAGGACTGATAACATTACAGATGCTTCTTTGGATTTTGTCAAGAATCTCAAGATATATAGTAGGAGTAACAGACCATATATGGCAGCAATATTCAATTCATAGTTGAATGGTAGATTTATAAACAAGTAAGATGGATTTTGACTAGAAAAATTGTTTGGCATGACACAATAAACCAACTTTCCTAGCAGCATACCTAGCAATTGATTCAATATAATCATTTCATGTCAGTGGAAAATGTGAGCAAGTAGCTGTAACGAATTGCTCTTCTGGAGTTCAGTATCAACCATGCTGATACATGTATAGAAGAAAATAGTGACATACCCCAAAGATTAAAATAATTTTGCATCATATGCTGCTTTTACAGAAGAACAAAAAAAAAGAAAGAAAAATGTTTCCCCACTGAGCAAGGTTAGTGAGTTCATTTAAATTAGCTTCTGCTAACCAATCATAGTTCAAGAATCACTGAGTGGAATGAATTGCATAGAAAAATATGCTAATACATTTCTATACTCCACAAATAGAAAACCTGGAAAGGGTCCACCAAACTGCTATAAAAGCAACTGATTTTCCCTACTGGGAGATTTTTGCAAGGAGGCTGCATGTGTGTATATGGAGAATTGAACTTTGTAAACTTTTATTATACATAGAATGCAAAAAATGATCTTTAAGACTATTAAAAGAGCAGTTTCACTTTAGAGGTATTAAAATTAGCAAGACATTTCTTAATATTTTGGAGGTCATTTTTGAGATGAGCAGCCAATTTGAGCTTATCAAACTAACCAAACTTACTATTAAGACAGGCATAAATAGTTATGTCATCAGCATAGATACCTAGATGAAAACAGATGGCATGGAAAGACCATTGATGAAAATTATGAATAATGTAGGTATAAAGATAAAGCTCCAGGGAACATTCACATTAATGCAAAAAGATCTAAGAAAGTGGCCATTCAAGAAAACTTTCATTTCACAATTTGATAAGAAAGATTGAATAAGATCAAAAATTTGTCCAGAAATACCATAACCTTTCAGCTTGTGAAGAAGATCAACATACCAAACCCTGTTTTGAGAATAAGTGTTGTTGTTTGTTCAGAAATGCATGGACTTTTTCTCCTTCATAGAAAACTGAACATCTAATTTTCTACAAACTCTAATTCATTTAACAGTACTGTTAAACAGAATGAGGAAAGTCTTTTTTTTCTAATATAAAACTCAGTCAAACTGTGGCTCAAAATTTGTGCTTTGCATCAAAATTGAATGTAAATTTTGTCAATTGACTTGTGTGCCTATTTAAAAGCATATTTCATCACTTGGCATTTAGAAAAGGCAGTTATCTTTCTCTCTTTGTATTTGTCTTTCAGCATTTTGGACTGAAGGTGAATTATTTTTTATTGGAGATTTGAGGTCTTCAATGATACATCAAGAAAATACATTAAAAATAAATAGCATATAATAATATTAAAGAAAAATAATATAAAAATTATTATTAAAAGATAGCATATTTGATTTGGTCTTCATACTAGATGAAATATCACAGCAGGCCTGATTTGACTTACAGAAAATAGTTTGCAGATCTGTTATAACTCATTAAAAAAAATAGAGAAAATGACATTTATTTCAGAGTAGAAGACAACTGTGGAATAATATTCATGTTTTTACAAAAATTGAATAATTACCTGTGCAAAATTTCTATGCATAGCTTGTTTTTTGTTCCTTCCTTGAATCCGATTACGATCTGCATGCATGCAACTCTCCAACTGGTCAAACTTGTAAATTATATTTTCTAAGTTGTTTCGTAGTTCTTCAAGTAATGCACAAGATGCAGAATTCTTTAGTGTAAAAAAGAAAGAGAAAATCTATAAACAACTTCAAAGCCACAAGCAGTTTCAGGAAAAATGCAAAATTACAAATAATAATAACTAATTAAAAAGTATCTGAATAAAATTATTTGGCAGATAAAAATATTTTTTCAATAAGTATTCTTTAGAAAGTGTTTTGGCATGGGGTAAGGGTCAGTGAGAATAACCTTGTTGACCAAAACTACTGAATAGTAAGTTCAATCTTCAGTGGATGCCCTATAGACATAAACCCAGCAAGGATTAAAATTAACCAAGCAACAATTATTCTTCCAATGTGTATCTAGACATTAAATGATAAGTATACTTGAAATGAATTGTGAACCACCGACATGATTTAGTAAAGATTATTAAGAAAATTATTGTTGGATGGGTCATTAAATGTTACAGGAAATTCATCTATGTCCCTGATTTGGACAAGTTCAAAACAGGTTTCTTTACATGCATTTATTATAAATTTAGGATGTAGCGGTGGTGTAATAGTTACTGGCTTGGAATAGGAAATTGGCGAGCTGAGTTCAAATTCCAGTTGAGATCGTTACATTCACTTTCGCACAAACATCCTTGGGAAAAGTATGAATTCATATATTCTCCCACCAGCTATGAGTTCTCTAGCCATGATTAGCAACCAGTCTAGGAGAAAGAAAAACCATGAATTCAAAACTGTATGTAGCCCTGGTGAAGCACATACTATGAAGCCATTGAAAGGATTGTGAATTTTACTATGGCACTCTGACTGAGGTTGATGAGATAGATTATAAATTCAGAAAATTCTAATATGGGAGGGGGACAGGAAGTGGGTTATATATAAGCCATCAAATACAGTGTATATTTACATTTTGCATCTGAGTAAAAATTTCCACTCACAAAGTTTACAATTAAGTTACCAGCAGGGAATAAACAGAGATATTTAGTCATAAAGTTATTTTGAAGTGTATCTTTTGGGTATATATTTTTCAATATACAACAACAATTAATACTGCCACTATATGGTATAAGCTAATATAAAATCTTAATTACTTTTGTGATGCTGTTCCTTTGTGCAAAAGATGCTGGCAAAACTGAAAAGAACAAGATTTCAAATTAAAAGAGAGAAAGCAAAAACATTTTTCAGTTTTCAAAATTTCCTAAACCCATGTAGAATTAAAAGTAATTGGATTAGCACTGAAAAATCTTATAATAGTCCATTGATTATTTGATTAAACTAGGAGTTATTCTTGATTCTTGTTGCTGATGGTCTGTGGAGTTGCTTAAATGAAAATGAATATAAAAATGGGAAGTAATTATTTTACTCCATACTGTTACCAGCAGAAAAATATATAAAATTCACTTTATCATTTCTATTTTTTAAGTAGTTGAGCAAAGTATCTGTCTATATTTCTGAGATGAGGTATTATGTACACTATTTACATTATAATAATATATAATATATATATAATAGAATAATATAAATAGTGTAGTTGAGCAAAGCATTTCTCTTCTCATACTATAAATTAGGCATTAAAATCTTTTTTGACTACATTTAGTCAAACAGATTTCAAATAAGCACCAACAATGATGTCTTCATTCTGGAGAAAAACAATGTAATGTTAGATTCAGTCCACTTTGGCACAAGGCTATATTCATGAAGAATCCTTATAAAGAATGAACTATCGCAAACTTGCTTGCAAAGCATATTAACAGTGAAACTAATATGAGTAGTTCCAGGATGTAACACCTGACCAATAAGAGATGTGATTTCAAATATTGAACAAAGGTGTTTTCCTGTGCATGTCTATTAATTCTTTTGATGTGCTTTTTTATGTTCAAACTCTTTTGTTTCAGTTTCAATACTGTTTCTGGTAATTTTAATCACCAGAAAATTAATGAATTCTACAGTCCTTGAACTGCAATCTATTATGTGACTAACATTTATTGTACAGCATGTTAAGTTATTAAGACCAGGTAAAAGATGTTTTTCTCTTTTTAACATCTACTGAATTGAATACTCACCTGTAGGATGCATATGGCCATTTACTATTTGACTCTCAACAGGTCGGGTCATTGAAGACAGGCAAGGGACAGATTTTCTTCGTTTCATATTGTCGGGGGCAACATTAAAACTTGAATCTATATGTATATTTGACATGGATTGATTGCCTTGTTTTTCATCTATTTTGGTTTTGAAGCCACTGAAAGAAAATATAAGAATAAGGATTAATAATTCAAGCAAGTCGTCTCACAATTTTAGCACTGATTCACTCCTTTCAATACTCTTTTAAATATGAAAATATTATTAGTGAAAAAATAAAAATAGGCCTTCAAATAGAATGAATGAAGCAAGAATGAAACTTACAAAAGGTAAAAAGGAGACAATTGTTGACCATACCTCTTCTGCTGAGCCAAATAAGGTTCTTCCATTAAATCATCAGACGACGACTGTGCTTGATCACCCTTTATTTTATCCTTCAACTCTAAATTCTGAGGATTTTTTATATTCTAAAAATGAACAGAATATCATAATTGAAAATAAAATTGTTTTAAATATTCAAAGAAATGATAGGATGAGTTGTTATGCAAATTTTCACACATTAGGTTTGAAGTATGAAGCAGATTATATCTTTAAGAATAACTAATATGTCGCTTATATGGATAATGACATCAAAAACAGTGATAACCACCAGCTGGACCTGGAAATTCAACGATACAATTTAAGAGTAGAACACAAAATATTTAATTTATTTTACTAATCTAAAAAATATTATTATTTAAACTTTTATCTGTTTAAAAAATTTACCACACTTTTAAAAAAATAGCACTATTAGTTTTAGTTTTTAATAACTTAATAAAAAACAATATTATTTCAACTACATTGTTATTCATCTTTGTTCAACTCAGTAACTTTAACTTATAGTTTATTATACTTTGGCTTTAGAAAATGTAACAAAGTTGTCTGTCACTAAATATGAATTGTGTCAAATGTATGCCACATTTAACAAATTTCTGGTAGTGGTCTATTGGAAGAATTGACTCTCTAGTCTTGATTGTCAACCAGTTGAATAGAAGGATAACTCTGAATTCAAAACTGGTTGGATGTGGGGATGGTAACTCCATCTTGTAAAAAGTCTACTTGCTATGGAAATCACAACAGCAACACCAGTGTTGTGAGAATGTTGGTCCTATACTCTACATACTCACTCAGTGTCTCTTGTTTTATTGTCATTAAATGGCACAGTGTTTTTTCCATTTCACCAGAAAGCATCTATGTTTAGTAAGGTAACAATTGATAAGAGACTCAATCTATTTTAGAAGGATAAGAAGCATTATTATTATATAAACTTGTAGATAAAAAACATTACATTAAGTAAACATAATAATGATAAAAAATAATAATGAACTTAGTCCACGAGAATTTGAAGGAAAGTCATTGTCACTCTTATTGGGTGGTTTAAGTCAATCTAAATCAAGAAAAATTTGTATACCAAAAATATTTTCAGATAATCTGCAAATTAATTCCATCCAACATGCCACATTTTACTGCCTTTTGTCTGCCTTATTTACAAGTATTTAAAATTTAATGAATTTTGTCACCCAAAGAAATTTTTATTCTGGAGTTTATTAAGTAACTTCAAAAATGTTCTTAAAATGGAATGCAGCAAAGTTTTGAAAGCTGGTCATTGTTGGGTAAAGGAATTTCATTTAGACTTAATTTAGGATTCAAGTTCTAGTAAGAAAGTTGATTCTATAACAAATGTATGCATAAAATCATTTACTGTTTCTTTTGGGACAGTAGAATAAGAAAAAGAACTTTTATGATAGACTTTGTAGGTTATTTGTGGCTGATTGAACTTGACCTGGCAGGAATTGTATGAGTTAGAAATGACAATTATTCAAAGATTGAAACAAATGAGCTCACTATACATCAAGTTTGTTTTGAGGCTTCAGAATATGAAAAGCTATACAAGAAAAATGCTGGAAGTTTTTAAGTAATAGTATCCATTTAATTACTACTAAAAATTAAAAATTTTCTAATAAACGTCAAACAATAAAAAAAAAAGAAATAAGAATTCACTCTTCCAGTTATAGAAAAGGTAAAGAGATTTAAAAATCATGAGAACTCACCATATATTCTTGTATAATTTCATTTTGTTCCACTTGATACATTTGCTTTCTTTCTTTCAGTGCCATTTCCTATAAAAGCAAAACAAGGAATATGTCATAAAATATTCAATAAGAAAAATATTGGATAAATCTTATTTTATGATACTATGTAATCAATCTACTGAAAACAGACCTAAGTGATGCAATGAAAATGGAGCTGCTGCTGTTGCTGCCATACCGATATTGTATCATTTTTATATAGACTCAGGGATCAAATTATAAATATCTGATTTTATACAGTTTTGATACTACAAAACATTAACACAAATTCTACCTAAACATTTATCAACAAATATGTTAGACAACTGAATGAGAAATTGGAAAAATTCTGGGTAACACATTTCATCCTCAAAAGAACTTCATTAAACTAATGTTCTTATTGATGGAGTTATATATGTGTAGTGGGGAGATATAAACATAAATCTCAGATACAATTATGCACCATGGGGAAGTGCTGAAGATGTGCTAAATTCTAAATTTTTTAGTTTTAAAATTTTGAATGTTTTTTTTTTTTGTTAGATGTGTCTAGACACACAGACTAGCCAATCTCATTCAATCTCTCTATGCTGTTTTGTTTTTAAATATCTCACATTGTGACAACAGAAGATCTCCCAAAAACAATAAGTCATTTATTTTTAACTGACATTCTTGTTACATGCCTTTCGTTAATGGTGAAAAGATTCTTGTTCTTACTTGCCTCACAAAAGTTCTTTTCTAACATTTCCTAAAAAAAAACCCACCCCACAAAATTATGAACAAAAAAATTACTCTGGTGAGTAATCAAGTAAATGTTACAAAATGAGTACAACAGAAAGTGAAATCACTCTTGTTTTAATACATATTCAGAAAAATAAAATGAGTGAAAAAATGAAAGCACATTATATATTTACTTTTAAAGGTCTAGGAAAGTTTATAGAAATTATATATATATATATATATATATATATATATATATTTATGAATAAAAATGACAATAAGAAAACTGGTAATTGCTGACGTGTTTCGTCCAATGTGGACTTTATCAAAGCAAAATACGATTTTCGTATTTTGCTTTGATAAAGTCCACATAAACGCATCAACAATTACCAGTTTTCCTATTGTCATTTTTTATTCATAAATATTGTCTTCTCTACTGGTTAAATCGGAGAAATTTTAATATATATATATATATATATATATATATATATATATATATATATATATACGCTTATTATATAAGCCCAAATGCATGCAAAGTACCAGATTCAAAATTTTATAGTAAACTATTGGTAGTTTCTGAGAAAAATATTCCAAAGGCGATAGTGAAAAAATATTCCAAAGGTATTTCAAAGAGTGATTAATTATTTGATAAAATTAAAATGAATAGCAAATGAAGTTCTTATTTTAAAGTCAGCAAAAATAAAAAAAAAATAGATAAAATACAAACCTTGAGGGACAATTCATTTGACATTTTTTCTAATTCAGTCCTCCATACATTTAATTCTTGTGACTTTTGGGTCAAAATATTTTTCTATTCCAAATTAAAAAAAAAGCAAGTTAATTTTTTAAGGATATGTTAACAGAGCAGAAAGAAAAAAGAATTTTGATATTTTATTTGCTGCATATCTGATATACAAACATACAAAAGAAACATAATTAAAAAATTGTTGATGCATATTGTTTTGCAAGTCCTTATTAGAGTTGGAAAGAATAATATACTTAAGATATAAAGGCATGAGAGATTTTACAAATATTAAATTGAGTATATTTAAGAGAAAGGTTTTTTTTTCTACTGATTGTATTTGGGTTAGAAACTACAATCTTTGTGTTACACTGGCCTCTAACACAAGGGAATTACACCGGTTCTCACTATATATATAGTGTCAGTAGTACCCTAACCAAGTAGCAGCGACAGTACTACACTGCCTAACTGAGTAGTACCCGTTTCCTACCTTTGTATCTGTGATGTTAAATACACTTGTTCCTTAACCCAACATCGACTTGATTTTCTTATTTTTACTATTGTGCCACGACACAACAGATTGGCTTACGTCGGAATCAAAACGATATCACTGCAGACAATCACATAAAGTGATTGAAATACAAGGATTCGCAAGACTTTTTACGGCAAAAACACCTTCGTCATTTCGAACAGATATGTGGATATGCAAGGATTAATAGCAAATTAATTACTACAATAGCAATTTGACGACGTAAAAAAAAAAAAAAAAAAACAACCAAAAATTTGCTACTAAAAGTCTACAGCGTGAGAACGCAAATAATATTGTCAATTATTAAAATAGTTGAAAAATACTGACACCAAGTGTTTGGAAGAGAAAAAAAAAGTTCACTGTTTTTTTTTTTTTAAAGAACCAGAGTTTGTTGTCACGGTAAGATTTTTTTTTTCTCCTCTTCAAAGTTAAATGATTTGTCGAGTGAAAATATATATTCAAGTAAGTCATTTGGGCTTAACAAAGACTTAAAAATTCAAGTCATATTTGTGCAAAGCCACAAAGAGGTTGGAAAAAAAAATTTTGTGACTTTCCCATTAGTCAACACTCCTTAAAGCGACGTTTTTTTTTTTTTTTTTACAAGAAATACATATTTCTTGTTTGTGTATTAGTTGAGCAAACTAATTTTATTAAGCAAGCCTTGGGAAAACTGATTTGTTTAATACAAGTGTAAACTGTATGGTGCGTAAATTGAATTCATACCATGGACGCAGAATTAAGAGAGTCTCTTCTTCAGTTGTTCAAGTTTCAAACGGAACAAAGTCTCGCGTTGCAAAAGCAACAACTTCAATGACAACTTGAAAGTGAGGAGAAATTTAAAAAAGAGTTGTTGGAACAACAGAAACATGTCGAACAAATCTTTATGAAAACACAGGAGGAACAGAGGAAAATTCTGGAGGCAACACAGTTAACGAAGGCAAGCGAGAATCATAACGCATTTTCCCAGACGGCTGTGTGGAACGCTATTGAAAGTTTCAATTATAATCCAGAAGAAGATGTTACGTTTGCTCATTTCTATAGAATATATGAGGATATTTTTGTATCGGATTGCGGTACATGGACAGACGCTAAAAAAGTTAGGTTTCTGCTAAGAAAATTGGGAACTGCCAAGCATACAAAATTCGTGAATTTTATCCTTCCAAAAAAGACCAGTGAGTTGAACTTTCAAGAGACAGTTACTCTACTAACAGAACTGTTTTCTACAAAAACTTCTCTTTTCACAGGAGATATAAGTGTATGAATGTCACTAGAAGAGAGGAAGATGATTACACTACTTATGCAAGTATTGTAAACAAGCTTTGCGACGACTTTAAACTGGAGGAATTATCATCAGATAATTTTAAATGTTTAATATTTGTGCAAGGGCTGGTTTTAGGTAAAGATGCTGAGATCAGGCGTCGTGTTTTAAATAAACTTGAAAATGAGCCGAATTTAAAACTACAAAGCTTAGCGGAAGACTGTGAACGGTTTGTTGCGTTGAAACAGGACAGTCGTGACATAGAGGAAAGCAGGGTGTCGCATATTAAAAAGGTCCATCAGAAGAAAAATTTAACTTCAAAAAAATAACCAGAGGAAAAAACAGGAAAAGATCCACCGGGACCGTGTTGGAGGTGTGGAGATAAACATTGGTACAATGAGTGTCCCTACAAGTTCAAAACAATGTGACAACTGCTACCAGAAGGGGCATAAGGCATCACATTGTAGGAAAAAAATCTGGTAGAAAGAAGACATCCATTAAACTAACGAAAATTGAACCTGAGGAACGAAATATCCGGAAGTTTGTACAGGTCAAAATGTTTAAAAAGAAAGTAAGACTACAGCTTGATGGTGGGTCTGATATTTCCATCATTAATATACAGACATGGAAGAAGCTTGGGAGACCCACTATGATTAAATCACATAAAACAGCGAGAAGCATCAGTGTGAAAAAATCACCTTCGAAGGAGAATTATTGACAAATATTTCTTTTCAGAATAAGACCGAAAAAGCGAAAATTTTTGTCATGCGAAAATCAAATAACCTCTTTGGAACTGATCTGTTCGAAAAATTTAGACTATGGGATCTGCCTTTAAGCTCTTTTTGTCAAAAAGTTGAGGATTCGAATGTGGAGGCAGAAAAACTTAAGAGGGAGTTAAAAGAGAATTTTCCAGACGTATTTACAGGCGGTCTTGAAGGTGTACAAAAGCAGTGGCAAAATTTGAAGTCAAAGAAAATGAACAGCCAGTGTTCAAAAGAAAAGAAAGGTTCCATACGCTATAAAAACAAATAGATGGTGAATTAGAAAGACTCGAAAACATGGGTGTCCTTGAAAAAATTGATCACATTGAGTGGGCTGCGCCAACAGTTTACATCAAAAAGAAGAGCAAGGAGATTAGGGTTTGTGCCGATTTCTCAACAGGTTTAAACAATGCATTAAAGGATCACCATTATCCCCTTCCGAGCCCTGAAGAAATATTCGCGAAACTGAGTGGAGGGAAATATTTTTCTAAAATCGACCTCAGTGACGCATATTTACAAATCCCAGTCGATCAGGTGTGTTCAAAGCTGCTATGCATCAATACCCATAAGGGATTATACAAGTTTAACAGACTTCCTTTTGGGGTCAAAGTCGCCCCTGCGATTTTTCAACAAACAATGGACATGATGTTAAGTGGGCTGGACTTCGCAGTAGGGTACCTGGACAATGTGTTAATGAACAGGGCTAGCAAAGAACAACACAAAGCTCATGTAAACCAAGTATTCAAAAGAATTCAGGATTATGGATTTAAACTGAAACAGGAAAAATGTACCTTTTTCATGGAAAAAATAAAATACTTGGGGCAAATTATCGATGAACATGGAAGAAGGCCGGATCCAGATAGATCGAAAAATAAGGGACATGCCTGCTCCAGAAAATATTATGTCTCTACAAAGTTTCTTAGGGTTGGCAAATTATTACAATGTATTCGTGCCAAATATGCATAAACTAAGATCACCCTTAAATGAATTGTTAAGGAAGAACCAAAAATGGGTCTGGACGCAAAAGTGCGAAGAAGCATTTCAGGAAATTAAAGATATATTAACGTCTGACTTGTTTCTGGCACATTATAATCCCAAGCGTGATATTATAGTTGCAAGCGATGCCAGTGCCTATGGCATAGGAGCATGCATACTACACAAAATGGATGATGGAAAAGTAAAACCCATAGCCCATGCATCCCGCTCACTTTTACCAGCGAAAAGAACTACTCGCAAAGTCGAGAAAGAGGCGCTAAGCATTATATTCGCAGTAAAGAAATTTCATCGTTTCTTGCACGGTAGACAATTTCTGTTACAAACAGATCACAAACCTTTACTAACGATTTTTGGATCGAAAAAGGGACTACCACAACATATGGCGAATAGACTCCAAAGATAGGGTACCATTCTTCTGAATTATAATTTTCAAATGGAGTATGTACCATCTAAAAAACTTGGTCATGCAGATGGCTTATCAAGGTTAATACCTAAGCACACAGAACCATTGGAGGATATGGTAATAGCAGCCATTCAAGCGGAAGTTAAAGTAAAAAATACTTTATGTGACACGATAAGAGAACTTCCAGTAACGCTTGATGAGATTAAGAGTAAAGCAGAGGTGGACGAATTTATTATAAGCACGAAAAAAAAAAATCAACAGTAACCAACTGGATGAGGAAATTTATTCAATTTGTGATAACGCCCTGTTATATAGCGACAGGGTCGAATTCCTACGACATTACAGAAAAGAATGCTCAAGGAATTCCATGTAGGACATCCAGGCATATCAAGAATGAAAAAAGCCTTATGCGCTCTTTTCGTTTTCTGGCCAAACATGGATAAGGATATAGAAGAAAAGTCAGGGAGTGTAGAGGATGCGATTAGCTATGAAAGCTCCTCCGACTCAATTCGATCGTGGGCAAAACCGACCGACCTTGGTCGAGAATTCACTTGGATTTTGCTGGACCGTTAGATGGTTTCCACTATCTCATTGTTATAGACAGTCTATCTAAGTGGCCGAAGTACTGAAGTGCAAGAACCCCACATCCGAGGCAGCTATTAACTTCCTGTATGAACTATTCGCTAGGTTTGAGTTGTAGACTGCATTGTCACAGACAATGGAACGCAATTCACGCTCTACCGAATTTAAACATCTCTCTCGAGGATTATCTAATCAAGCATATAACCATTCCGCCATACCACCCAAGAAGCAATGGGCAAGCGGAGAGATTCGTGGATACGTTCAAGAGAGCCCTGAGAAAGGCTAGTGGATCACCGACGGATAAGTCAATCCAACAGTTCTTACAAGTTTACAGGGTCACTCCGAATGCAAACATCGAAACGTCAAGACACCTGCTGAGGTCATGTTCGACGCAAGGTTAGATCAATTTTCCACAAGTTGTTACCAAACCAGGATAGGCCAAACCTCAAAAACCGATAACAAAAAAAACGGTATAAAGTTGGCGAAAGAGTTTTCTACAAGATTCATAGAAATAATAGGACCTTTTGGGAGTCCGGCACTATTGAGAAACAAATAGGCAACATGGTCTATATGATTAAGGGACCAGATTTCGTGCACAAACGTCACACTAACCAAATCCGGAAAAGATACTGAACAGTGAGGTGACCAGATCGCCTGAGGAGGACATCATGGACACAGTGTTTGATACTTTTCAGGTTCCCATACCAGAGACAGCTCCTGAGAATAGGAGGTCAGAAAGAAAAAAAAGGAAATCAACGGAGTTGATTAGGTGAACCCAAAACAAAAACGTTATTAATTCCCAGACGGGATATTTTCAAAGGCGGGGTGTTACACCGCCTCTAACACAAGGGAATTACACCGGTTCTCACTATATATATAGTGTCAGTAGTACCTACCCGAAGTAGCAGCGACAGTACTACACTGCCTAACTGAGTAGTACCCGTTTCCTACCTTTGTATCTGTGATGTTAAATACACTTGTTCCTTAACCCAACTTTGACTTGATTTTCTTATTTTTACTATTGTGCCACGACACAACACTTTGGTATAGTAACTTGCTGCTCTCATTAATAAATCAAATCCACATGCACAAGTTAGGATGTGTTAAAATAGGATCTTGCTCAATAAACTGAGTGACAGCACTTGACCAGAAAAATGTAATATTTATTTTGTGTAATACAAAAATGTGGCACAGGGCCAAAAGGGGAGAGAGGGGAAGGTGGGTCTTCAATCTGTCTTATCTTAAACTTAGCTAGCAACAATTACTGACCCAAACATACCACAGTATTTCTTTACACCAAAATAACACATTCTGACTTACCATTCTTACTACAGCCACCCTAATACCTCAAAGTCTCTATATAGTTCTAACTAGTTCCCATAGGTACAATTTGTCAGGAGTTGGGGGAATAAAATAAGAACATTTAAAAATGAAACTTCAATGAATACAATTTATATACAAGAAACTAAACAAAATAGTGTTACTAATAAAACCCTCCACAATACTTAATTGTGGCAGAAAAATCAGTTAACTGGTGTCATGGACAATTACTACAGCATAAAATTAAAAAAAAAGAAAAGATAAAAAATGCAGCTTGTTGTCAAGGGAGATGACCAAGTTTATCACTTCATAATGGAAGGATTCTTTACAGGTTCAAATACATGAATGAGAAGAAACATCCAAAAATGATGAACAACCAACCTCAATACAAATTAACAAGATTTAATTATAAATTATAATTTATACATGAAAACATTAATGTAAGGTAATGCATGGAAAGGTGTGTCCTATACATTTCTGTATGGAAAGTTAATGTATTATCTGTCTGAGCTGGAAAGTCAAAATTCACTTAGCTTTGGCTATTCACCTGAAATATAATATATATACTCGTGTCATCCATATCACAACTCACATAATACCTAGCAAGCAAAAGCACACATAGTGCTCAGCCTTAGTTAACAACCGTACTACATTGCCATAAACAGAACTGGCCTTGAGGACAAAGAACTTTCTGCACAGCAGGTGAATTATGATGTCTTCAATAAACTTGCACAATGGAACTATGACCCTGCAGTGAAAGAAGGCATGACAAACTTACCACAGCAAACACAGTTTGGAGATTTTTAGTCTTTAACTTGTGAAGGAAAGACTTCAACACAAGAACGTACAGCAAAGGCGAAAGTGGACAACCTTGACAAATGGAGCGAGACAATACAAAAAACTCTCAATTGAACCCCATTTGCTTCCACCAGTGTATCAGACGTCAGATCCAGAAAAATGTTCACTGAGGAGAAATTTCAATAAACTTAAATAATGCCTAAAGGCTAAATACACTTTGAAAGGAAGGGAGACAAGCCTGCTACTGCTTAGAACATATCCATTAAGCTGAGGAGTAGGAGCCTAATATCTTTAGAAATTTGTTAGCCAAGGATATTGAGTTCAATCCTTGGTAGGACCACAAAAGTCAGCATAGTAGGCAGGATGAATCAAGAGTAAAAAAAATAATTTCTATAAATATTATACTTGTATGTATATCATTTTAGTTAGTAAAAACATTTTAAATGGTAAAAGTGATAAACTATTTCAATTATAACAGATTCATTGCGTCAAGATGTTTCAATACTTTCAGGTTTTTTTTCAGCAGAGTCTGGGATATTTTAATTTCTTAACTTTGTCTGATACAAGACTATGGCACTAGAGCAGCCAGTGTTAGTTTTAGCTATATCATGACACACAGGCATTTTGTAATTTTGATTTTCAATTAAATTATAAAAGCACTAATTAAACACAGAAATAGTTGTTGCAATCACATTTTAAATGAACATACAAAACTTATCTTCCTTCAGGCTTAAATGATAAATTATTTTAGATCAGGTCACATAACATCTCTTGTTATTTTTAAAATATTATGTACAATGAATTAAGGAACATTATGCTAACTCATAAATAATTGGAAAGATATTGGAATATTAGCAGTAAAAACTAACAATTCCTTATCTTGATCTGTATGGTTGCTAAAAATAGTGTAGTTGAAAAGACCATTTTTCACTGTTGGTTATTACTACTAAAAATCAATGAATTACTTAATATCCTGAAAGAAGTTAGTTGATGTCTACAACTAACTCCCTGCTGTCCACTGATGTTTTCAAGTTAAGGTTTATCAAATAGTTTTCAGAAACTGAATTATAAAATTGATGACATCCAGTCAAATACTCTTAATATTAAGAAACAAAGTGTTGAGAAAAGATGGTAAAGAAAACTGTAAGGAACATGGATATTTTAAGCTATTTAAAAATTGAAAAGGTTTTAGAGTAAATAAATAACTCTAGAAGTAACAAAAAATTTCCTTTGTATAAAATCAAAGTTTTTACCTCTCGTTCTAGCTTTGCTTGCGTTATGCTTTTCTCAGTTGCTAACTCCTGTGTTAGGTTTTCAATTTGTTTTGTGTGTTCTTTTTTCATACTTTTTAATTCAACTGACAGCATCTCCTCCAATGATTTCTTTTGCATTCCTTCCTAAGAACCAAAAATATGCAAATTATTAAAAATTATGCAAAAACAAACTGTCACTTATGCTAATGTATTTTTTTAATAATCAAAATAACAAATAACTGCAACTATTTCTGAGCAGTTTTTATTAATAAGAAAGAATATTATCCATTTGCATGTCTGTAGAGAATTTGATATATCAAGTTGATAGACAATTCTTTGTAATAACTTAGAAAAATATCTAAAATATTTTAAAAAAAATTTAAAACACAAGCTATATATATATATATATATATATATATATATATATATATATATGTGCGTGTGTGTGTGTGTATAGGTCCATAAACAAAACTTTACTTTTTGGGCAATTATGAAAAGTATAACAATTTTTCAACATAAACATGAATGCTACTTTCTTGTAACAATGTAATCATTTCTTCTTTTGAAAAAACACATATGAATAAAAATTAAAAATAAGAAAAAAAATAACTGGATTTAAGATTGTCACAAGAGATTTGAGAAAAATATAAAAGGATAATAATAAACAAGAAAACATTTGAAGAAGCTGGGGTTGCAAATGTAAACAGAGAAAAAATGCAGAATGTTATGAAGATTGACTAAAGACATGAAAGCCACCAAACTACCAATTTTAAGTAAACATTACAAAGAAAAACATATGCTGGATGAAGAAGTACATGAACACAGATTTTTCAAGTCATTTTTAGCAATGAATGTAGATTGAATGGAGCCGGTGGCTGGGCTATAGGTTGGGTCCTCTATGGAAATAGTCAACTAACACAACTTAGAAGACCACAGAGAGATGGAGTAATGTTTGGGGATAGAAATATAAGCAATAAAATTACATATCCCTTCAAAGTTGATGATGGTGTCAAGATAAATGCAGAGAATTATTATAAGTTATTGGGCAATATGTTTTCAGAGGTGTATAGTTCACAATCAAGACACTTTAAGTTAAAGAGTATATTTGTGCAAGACAATGCTCCTTCACATTTTGCAAAGCTAACTATTGCCCATCTTGCCAGAAACCAATTTCAAAGACATCAAATTAACAGAATATCCTCTAATCTTTCCATATACTAATCCAATAAAAAACTTGTGATTCATCATTAGAAGAGATCAATATGTGAATATCAAACAATGAAAAATTCTGCAAGTAATGTTAAAGTCAAAAGATGAGAAAATTTAACAAATTCAATGCAGGAAAGACTGGTGATGATTATAAGGTCAACGGAGCCCAGATTAACGCATATCATGTATACTTGTGTATAAGACGACATCATGTATAGTGCAACCCTTGAGTTTTTTGCATGAATTTTAATCCCCCTCCAAACAAAAATTTACCTGTACATAATACAACTGGCCACCAAAAATGCATGATTTTTAACCTCTTCAAAAAACATTACCTGTGTATAGTGCAACCCCCTAACGTTTGCTTACAAAACTGATCATAAAAACTTACATTATACACAAATATATATGGTAAAATAAAATAATTTATTCAGGTATGCTGTGTTAATCAAATATATGTTTCTAAGTTGTATATCTTTTGGATTTATTTATAAATACATATTTATACTACCCTTTACTTGCATCATAAAATCTGACATAGTTGACATAGCAAAAGACATATTTTCTGTTAAATAAAATTATAAACTCGTTCATATGACTATTGCAATTCATACCAAATGAACTCTTAAAAACTGAAGAAATACAAACCAAAATTTGTAATAACAAATGTTTTTAAAATGATCAGAGTGGTAGTCTAAAATTTTACTCTAATTGTATTTAATGTGTAAAAATGAAAAGAAAACAAACTTTCACCTGTTCTTTGAAGTCTTCCTTCATCCTTTCTATAATTCTATTATATTCAGCCTTAATTTCTTCCATTTCCCTTTGATGCTGTTGTCTGAGGTCTTCACGGCGTTGCTTAAGAACATCATCCAACTGTTGGGTTTATGTAAATATGGAAGTCAAGATGAGATAACAGAAATATGGAACAAAAACCCACAAATATAGAGATATGACAAATAATCAGCTTTGCTATTGCTGATTTTACATGTACATTAATAGCTGGGCCATGGTAAACAGCATATAATCACCGAAAAGTGATTGAAATAGAAAATTAAGGGAGCAATTCTGTTAGATGTAATTTAGTCAACTTGTGAAGAGGTTTCATTTCTATAAAATCCATTGAAACAAGACTGAATAACTTCCAGTAATATGGCAACATATAATTGATTTTTAACTGCAAAAAAGATGCTAAATTTCCTAATACTAATCTTTGGCCCAACCACTGACACAAGAAGAACAAGATATTTAACCAAAATTTTGAATGTGCTAGAAAGGGTTAAAAAATTTAATAAAATAATCAAAAAATACTTTGGTTTTTCTTCTGAATAATAACAAAAATTTTGACAATAAAACTTTGTTTTTATCATATCTGGGGCCTTTTTTCATCATGGTATGCTCTTTTTTTAGCAAATTGTTGGAAGTAACTAATGTTAATCATAATAAATACTGAATGGTTTATGATTGAAAAGAGAAAAATTTACTCACTCCTTTCTCAAGGTCTTCCATTGCTCGTTGTCTCTGTTTGGATGACTCCATTTCTCTTTGTTGAAATTTCATGTTTTCTTCATGTAATTTTTCTTGGGATTTTTTAAGCTCAGATAGCTCCTATCAAAAAGGTAAAAATGAAAAACAACAAATTAAAAAAGTAAAACTATGAGAATTTGATTAGAAATAGTGTTTTTTGCACACAAACGCTAACACATATCCTAAAATGTTGCACACCATTTTCTTTTGTTTTTTTTCTATATTTATTTATCCAGAATATTTGCAATACCAGGATGTGTAAAGCTGAATATTTATGGATCAAATAAAAAACAAAAAAGAATTTTGCTTATAGAAAAATGAATATCAAGCAAGGCAAAGATGGTCTTTGTTAAGATTCCTTAACATCAGCCATTAGCAATTACAAGGTCTTGAAGTAAATGAACAAAATAAAGACAAGAATTATAATAAAATAAAATTACTTTTTCATACTTTTCATTAAACTATATATAAAAATGGAGGAATGTGGAAATAATATATATATTTTTTTCATATTTCTAATAAAGAAACGAGTTTTTATGCAGACAATGTTTTACCATTTCATGTTTGGCCATCAGTTCATTTCTTACTGATTCCATTTTGTCTTCATGTTCTTCTTGTAATTCCATTTTCATTTGCTCCAATTCATCATGATAATCAGCAGAAATTTTTTCAAACTGCATTTGTTTCTCATTAGCCAATCTTTCCTCTTCCTCTTGGAGAGCCTTCTTCACCTACAATATGTATATGTTTATATTGACATATAAATGTTAAATATTCTCCTTCAATTTATTGAACAGTTTTTTTTTTTTTCTTTTTTACGTTCTTGTGTCTCAAACAGTATTTTGCATAACTTACTATTGTGACACAATAGGTTTTGAAATTTGGAAAATAATCAGCACAGGGTGAGCTGGAGATTTGAACCTGGAGTTAACCAAGGGCTTGCCAGTATAATCCACTAAGTTTGAGTAATACCCATCAATTTCACATCCTTCTGGCCCCAGGTGAAAAGGCTTTTTTGTTATGTAAAGTAGTGGAGAAGACCACCACGAGATAAAGAATACTATCAATGTTATTTTGGTTAAGTGTTGTGGTCTCAGCATAGTTGAAAATAGGCAAAAGACAGGGTTTTCTGAGCAATTATCATAAGATAAATTAGGAGAAAGGATCTTCACTTTCTTGGAAAAGTGGACAACAACTAGTTTTACACTATTTACATTGTTTGAACTGCTGTCTTCATCTTTATTGTCATATTCACAATATTATGGCTGTTGTACAGTCCAGCCTCCTTCAGGTGATATTAGTTAGAATTTCAAACAATGCTTTATTTAGTCCATGAAGGTAGATTGGTTTGGTTCAAAATTCCAATTAATATCACCTGAAGGAGGCCAAAGTGTACAATGGCCGAAACATTGTGAATATGGGGATGAGGAAACAGATGAGGAAAACAGTCTGATCAATGTAAATAGTTACAATACCTCATCTCAGAAATATAGACAAATAGTTTTACACTGTAGTTCAGTGATTAATTCCATTTGAAGATGTTAAAGACTTTCTATTTGCACCTGGTGTGGCATAAAAGAAGCCAGGAATAGGGTTGACACGAGGTGTTCTCCTGGCCACCAAGCGAGGACCCACAACTGGCCCAGCTGTATCTGGGATGCACACACAAGAAAGGACCAAATGACAGAGATAGATATATAAACACCTACTCTAACAGTAAAAGACAATCTCTCAAATATCATACATCTGAATGTAAGGTCCATGCTTTAGATGAGGGACCCACACCAACATATACTCTGGCTGACAGTAATTGATGAAGTCAGAAGTTGATTAAAATGCAATGTTACATATGATAGATTCAGATCTCATGTTCTTATTTGTAATGGATGCTGATACTTCATTACAAGTACACACTGATCCATAATGCAAAAATCAAAACACTATATACTTATCCAAGAAAATTTTATTATGAGAGCATCATAAGAATAAAGGATTACTGAGCTCTCATTTTATAATGCCTTTGTGAAATTGCAAACAAAAATCTCCTTAAACTCTCAAGGTTAAATAGTAAACAATCATTACTTTCTCTTTTAAATCTTCCAATAAGCTTTCTTTTTCTTTTTCCAAACTGCTTTGATCTTCTTGATGAAGTCTTGAGATTTCCTCACGAATCTTGTCCAAGCTGGCATCAAGTTCATCTCTGACAATCACATAAACAAGAACACAGTAAATAATATTATATATATATATATATATATGTAGTTTATGCAAACTTAGGTAATCCGTATGGGTAGACCCGAGGAGGATGATATCCAGAGAGCTCAATATAAAATTCAGAGCAGATATGTTTGAATAAAAAACAGAACACGTTAAGATTCCATGTAATAAGCTATTTCACCATAACCCCTTTAACAGGGTTCTGGATCATCAGACTTTACTTCCAAAAGCTGAAATGAAAAATGAAAAGAGATTCACACGTTTTTGACGGCCCTCATCAAGTATACGTAAAATTAATGAAGTGAGGTGGGAGAGAGGATATGAGTGTGTCATGTGTATCATTTCAATTTCCTATTTTTAACCCCAGTGTGTCGGCTAGATGTTGCTCAAATTTAACGCGTCTTGCCTCTAGCTATAAGACCGACATTAAAGGAAGAAGCTACAACAACCCCAATCAATTACACGACAGGTTTCATTCAAATTCTTAGACGCTGTTAATTTGCGTTACTTTAACATGCATATTTGGGAGGTTAAGGTTTGATAAATTTCTAAATGTCTAAACAATCTACAAAGAAATTAATTTGAAATTCGGTGGAGTTTTGGGTATTTTCTATGAAACAGTCGATTGGAAAAATTCATAGACAGTACATTGAAAGAGTAATCCATTTTATATTTAGTAATCTTTTTTATTCTACTAAAACTTTTATCTTATTGCTTGTTAGGTTGACATCTATTCATTTGATTTTTGTTCATTAAGTAAACTCGTGATTGTTTTTGATTTTTGTTCATTTAGAAATTTATCAAACCATAACCTCCCAAATATGCACGTTAAAGTAACGCAAATTAACAGCGTCTAAGAATTTGAATGAAACCTGTCGTAATTGATTGGGGTTGTAGCTTCTTCCTTTAATGTCGGTCTTATAGCTAGAGACGAGACGCCAAGTTAAATTTGAGCAACATCTAGCCGACACACTGGGGTTAAAATAGGAAATTGAAATGATACACATGACACACTCATATCCTCTCTCCCCTCACTTCCTCACTTCGTTAATTTTACGTATACTTGATGAGGTCTGTCAAAAAACGTGTGAATCTCTTTTTTCATTTTTCATTTCAGCTTTTGGAAGTAAAGTCTGATGATCCAGAACCCTGTTAAAGGGGTTATAGTGAAATAGCTTATTACATGGAATCTTAACGTGGTCTATTTTTTATTCAAAAATATATATATATATATATATATATATATATATATATATATATATATATATATATATATAAATGGGCAGAAATCCTTCTTTAATGCATGTTTCATTGAATATGATGGATAAAGAATATTTTTCAAAGTTTTTTATTCAGTTTTTCTAGTGTCTTTACTATATTACTTTTTTGAAGGCTTATAGGGACATTATTATTATAAATAAATATAAAATAATAATAATGAAAATTATAAATAAAATAAAACAATAACATTTAAACTTTGTTTAAAATAAATTAAATAAAAATTAAAAATAATAACTCTCCCAATAAAAAAAAACATTAAATTCAATCTCTTTGCCATGAAACTTGGCACAGGCAACACATGTGTAACTTCTCTCTGTGATATGACTTGTAATACGATGGAGTAAATTCTCCCTTTTATCACATGTACCATAAAACAATTGTAACCTAAAAATATATACACCAATACACACAAAAAATATAAATAAATTGTATGAAATTAACAAACAATTTACCATGCATTTCCTGTTATTTCTGTACGTTTTATTTCCTGTCAAGTATGTTTTTATCTCCATGAACATGAGACTTAATTTCTGCTGCTGCTATGATGTTAGTGAACCCCCACAACATTTTGGTGACCACTGATGTGTACAAAAAAAAATACAGGCTCAGTGTGTGGAGGAATTGTCTATAGTGTTTATTGTTCTGACTGCTTTCATCTATTTCTTTAGCTATTTCCAAGGATTTTTTAAAATAATTTTTTTGTTAACAAAGACTGTATATTTGTGTTGTTGCACTATACTGTCTTGTGTGAGTAGCAGTAATTTCATTCTTAGTGTTATTTTGTGGGATCTATTGCTTTTAATTAGACCTACTCTAAAAAAATATTTTTTTAACATAACCAATGTACTGTTGCTGTGTTTAGAAACTAAACAAAAACTCCACTAAATATGAAATTATAACCACTCTCATACAATACAGTATAGGAAAGAACACAAATATACTTGAAAATGGTTTAAAATATTAGCCAAAAGTGGTCAGGGCAATGAACATTTCCTCCACACACACTTAACTTTTACAAAAGTAAAATTGTAAGGACATTAGAAAACCTAAATAAAACCTTACAAAAATGTCCATCATATTTAACGAAGCACACACACAGATACAATGTTGGAAAATAAAATTGCAACATCTTGAATATATATTTCAATTTACTCAAGATTAAATATGCAGGTAATACATGCAGGTAATTACAATAAATCATCATGTATACAACTAAATATGCCTACAGGTAACAAAGAGGTATATCAACAGTACTCATACATCATATAAATATGCTCTATATTGTCTTTGAATGTGAACATAGTCTGTATTCTTGCAGGCACATGGTTGTACAGATAATGAAAACTATCTTGTGATACAATATTCCACACCGGTGGATGCAATGCAGCAAGAATTGTAGGTAGGCTAACTGGCAGAGTCAGGTGTTGTGCCATCATTTCCCATATATGTTCATCATGTTGAAATACCAGTTCTAGTACAATCCTTGGAGTTAAGCAATGTCAAGCCTGATAAGTACCTAGATGGGTAACCACTTGTGATTACCAGCTGTTGTAAGCTTGGGTGTGCTGGTGGTGTAATGAATAACAGTTTTGAATTTGAAATTGGTGAGTCAAGTTCCAAATCCAGTCAGGTACGTTATATTTACTTACACATTATTATCCTTTGGAAAGGTATGAATCCACCGCTTCTCCACTCCAGCTATGGGTCAATTAGTAGGATGTATACTAGTAAATCATTATCATCTCAAAAGGATTCTTACAATCTAAAAATATTTTCTGGTTTTAAGTAACATGCGAAATGTTGATAAGCTGTAAAAACCTAATTAATGAATCAATCATAAAACCCATATATGTTCAATGGGGGACAGGTATGGCCTGCCAGGGAAGTTGTGAAATATCTTGCACAGCATATTGAGTAGCACAGGCATAATGCAGGTAGGCATTATTCTTCTGAAACAGCATACTGAAGATGGACATGTTGAACAATCTTCTGGATATAGATCATACTGTATAACATTCCTTTGACAAACACCAAAGACAAGTGAAAGTTGTACTTTATGGCACTCTACATCAGGGTGAATAGACTCTGGAAGATATTGCTTCTTAGGTTTATGTTGCAAACACTAACTACCATCACTTGTATGAAGGCAAAACCCTCTCTCATCACTGAATACTTCAAAGTGTCATTCAGTCCCCCAGGTGACACTCTCATGACATCAATGGAGTCATGCATGACAGTACTGTGGCATATGTGGGTGCCTGGTTAGAGACATCCATACCCACGGTCCTGTTGCAAGTAAATAATTCCAAATGATATGCATTGATATTCTTGGAGCCACATTTGCACTGAGCTGTGATCCATATGCAGTTTGCTATTGCTGCCCTTACAATGTGCCAATCTTTGGGAGCATCTTTACTAATACAGAATCTGGTAGGAATGTTCATTTGACTACTGCTGCCAACGTTGAAGTACTACTAATATGTGCAGCAATTCTGTGAAATAACCACCCAGTCCCTTGAAGGGTCGTCGTCCAGCAGCTTAAATTGAACAAAGGAGTATATGTGCATATTTGTGATATTACACCTGTTTGCACTGAGCTCTTTAAGAACACTGGACCTTATTGCAGCATGTTTCACCATCTAAAACTATGCAGACAGTAAACTGTTACCATGTCACATGTTGGCTCAAGGCTTTGAAACATTTACCAGAATATCTACTCGTCCTTCGCATGTACATATTGTAACAAAGTTAAAATCAACATTGTTTTTTTTGTATGTTGCTTTTTATTATTTCCTGTTGGCATGTGTGATTGATTGATTTTTTTATGGCTTATCAACCCTTTGTAGCTTATTTAAAGCCAGAAAATATTTTTAGATTTTAAGAAGTTTCTGGAGATAATAATCATTTTACTGATACAAGTCCGACTAATTAACCCATAGCTGGGTGGAGAAGAGGTGTATTTATACCTTTCCCAAAGATATTTGTACATAAGTGAATATAACAAACCTGACAGGAATTTATATGGTTAAATTTAAATTTAATTGACTCCATAGTCACCAGTAAATTTCAAGCCATTATCCATTATACCGCTTGCATATCAAGTTTACATAACCTTGTAGTCCCAACCGGTCACCCATCTGTGTACTGACCAGGATCAATGTTGCTTAAATTTCGTGATTGTATGAGAACTGGTATGGATGTAACTGCCACCATGTGTGTGTGTGTGTATGTATAATACATTCACAGAGAAGGAACTGCTATAAGATGATGATTAACGAGTTTGGCAGACCATTACTAAAGTGCTGGTTCCTTGCCATAGTCTCCCTGTAAAATAAGTTTAATCAACATCTACATTTTGTATGAATGTGTCTACATAATAAAATGACTGATATGAAATATCCAGACAAAGTATGTAAGATGGAATATATGGAAACCAATAGGATGTCTACATTTTTATTATTCTGTTACCAATGTTTCATTCAATAAGATCATCAGAACAACTGAAAGAAATTAAGGAAAAATCATTTTTTTGAAAATTTAACTTAAAAATAAATATTTATGATTAAAATAAATGTCTGTGAACTATCAATGAGATGTTCATAGGAAAATGCTAAGTGCATCTTTATAAAGAGATAAAATACATGTCTAATGTAATAATTATATATAAGTATGCAGATACACAAAAACATTGATATAAACTTACTTAATGTGTTGTTCTTTTTCTTTCTTTAATTTTTCAATTTCTTCCTCTTCTTCTTTCTCGATCTCTTTCTTCAACTCTGCCAGTCTACGTTCTTTGTTCTGCAGTAGGAACAGAAAAAAAAGGAACATTTGAAAGTGTTTGTTGTTGTGTATTTGAATTAGAAGCTGAACCCTTATTACAGTGGCAAGCAAACTTCCAGCAGGACAATGCACCATGTCACAAATAAAAAAAAAAAATAGTGTCAGACTGGTTTATGGAACACAACAATGAGTTTTCTTTGTTAAAATGGCCTCCATAGTCACTAGTCAATCCAATTGAGCACATTTGGCATGGGGTGGAAAAAGGAGTTTCAAGTACTGGATGTGTAACCAAATAATCTAGAACAATTGTAATGCTATAATAAGAGTATGGGCACTAATTTTGAAAGAGTGCTTCCATAACATTGTCAAATCAATACCAAGAAAAATCAAGGTGGTTCTAAAGGCAAAAGGGGGTCCAAGTTTGTACTAAAAGAGTTTACCTAATCAAGTGACTGTTGAGTATATATAACTTAAAAAAGTGGGTTAAAATAATGGATATTTTCTATTTCTCAATGAAATAATTAAAGACATAACTAAACAGAACATAAACCTGTCTCATTTCCATTTCAGTTTTTCTTAGTTCTTCATCCATTTTCTGTTGTAATCCTTGAATTGACTGTTTTTTCTTTGCTTCTAGTTTTTCTTCCTCCTCTTCCATCTCAAGCTTGGAAGCTTCCAAATTTGCTCTTCTGTAATTAAAAAAACGTATGAAATGGTAAACAAGTATCACGTGGAGAAAGACATGACTTACCTCGAAGTTCAAAATGAGTGTGAACGTGTCTTACCTGCAAAGTAACAAGAAAAAGAAATATGGCCACTATCGAAGACACAATTTATGCGCACCAATCTCATCCAAAATGAGACGATATTCGCACACATGCAAATTTCTGCCGTATCAGACAGGCATAAAAAGCGAGATGCCAACAGCATGACTCATAAGGTTCGAGTCATTCGGCGGACTTCGTGCAATAGAGTTGGATGTACGAATTGACTGACGAACAAAGAGGAAGTCGAAGTAGGCGCAATTGAGTTGGTGTCTGTTTCATGACTGCCTAGTGTAGCAGCTGAGAAAGGGAGTCTCGCAATCCCTTTCCTTGAGGTGACCGATGACGAAGGAAGAACAGCTGGTCTGCCGACGAACGGTGCACTGCACTTGCTGACCCCCCTCTCGTCACTTTCTTCTTTTTGTTTACTACATATCAGAACTTGATGGAAACTTTGGCCCTTCTGCTTTCATTGGATATACTGTAATAATTTCTATAAGCTTTTTTGTTTCTATCTTGAACTCTTATTTTGTCTCTATTTTGAACTTTAAAAACTGCATTCAAGTAGGATAATAATTTGCAATTGCAAACCATATTTTTTACTTTAAAAATTGATAAATTATTTTAATGCTGACTTATTGTAAGTAAAACTTGCTTAAATACTTTGGATTTACTGTGTTATTCTATGATTACTCAAAGTGTTCCTAAACTAATTCTAATAGGTTTAACAAAATTATTACAGATTTTACAAGTAAGCAATAGTACAGTAAAATAAAGGCTGCAAAGTACTTAATGCCAACATTGTCCCTTTACCTGGCATCTTGGCTTCAGTCACTTTCACACCATTGTAACGTAGCTTCTCTGTGCCTTTTCTATAAATATTTTTGTTATGTCTTCATTGCACTGAATGAAGATAACACAATCAAGAAGTAGCATGTTGCTTGGTGTCGACGTAGTCTTGCTGAAATCAGTAGTAAGCAAATAAGCTAGATCTCTAATTCTCTACTTGTTTACTCCTTCTACTGACAATTCTCGATGTTCATATTTATATATTTGCATGAGTCCAAGTCCTCTTCTGGAGAGATGTGTTCATTTCCGCAACACTTCTTTTTTTAGATATGCACTTTCCTTAGTTGATACTTTTTCCAACAAGGGTCCACTTCCAAAGTTTCAGTCAGATTATGTTTTTGCTTACCCTGACATTGACATTGTATTGTAATTTCAGTTTTAGGAATAGATACTTCAAAAGTATCATAAAATATGTCCATCAGTAAATTAAATTGTACTGGTTGCTTATTTTGTGGATAGATAGATCTAAATAGATCTCAATTGATTACTATGTCTCTTATGACGAAATTGTCCACTTTCAACAATGTACATCATACTACTAAGGTACTGAATAATTTTTCTTTCCTGCCAATTTTCCTATCTGGCCTGAAAGCTTTTAAAGAAAACTTTATCTCCTATCTTAAATGATCTGGTAGTTTGAAATTTCTTCTTATTCCCTGGCAGTAATTTGTCAAAAATGGATCTAACTTTTCAAGCAAACATGAGCTCTGCTGGTGATGTTTTTGCAGTGATATTTGCATTTGATGTCATTCGATACATGCTCAGAAATTCTTATAGTGCTGTTTCTTCAGCTTCCAAGCCTTTAGCTTTTCTTAATGCTTGAAGGTGCCAACAAACTGTTCCACTTGACCATTAAACCTCAGATGATAAATTGGCATAGTCAAATGTTTAATCGCATAACTTTTGCAGAAATTTTTAAACTCACAAGAAGTAAAATGAGTTCCATTATCAGATACCATGCTGTCAGGTGCTCTAAAACTTGCAAAAAGTTTGTGCAAGAATTTAATCATTATTGCAGTAGTAGGTTGTTTACACTTCAATATCTCAGGTCATTTTGTGAAACTGTCAACCACAATTAAATAGTATTAACCATTTAGTGGTCCAGCAAAGTCCATATGTAGTCTTGCCCACAGTTTATCAGTGCTTGGACATGCCTGATAATTTTTAGGTAGTGATTTTGCCACCGAATTACAACCATTACATTTTCTATCTGTATTTTGGATATATTTGTCCAACCTTGGCCAATACACGTAGCTTCTCATCAAGGACTTCCTCCTCACTATTCCTGGATGTCATACGTGGAATTGTTTTAAAATCATTTTTTGTAGTAATATTGGAATTACTATTCTTTCCTCATACAGAAATACTCCATCACAAATAGAAAATGCCATATTATTGTTAGCAGGTTTAATTTTAATTTCATTCCATTCATTCATTTGGCTTATCAACATTCATAATTTTTGAATTAATATATCCGTTTTTGAATGAATTTTGATATCATCTATCGTAATTGGAAATTCTTTAATAGTGTTATATACCAAGCTTTTAATTTTGCTTTCAGATTCCAGTGAAGCAATCACAGTGTCTTCAAAATCTTCTTTAGATTTTTATATCAGTCTGGATAAGCCATGTGCATGTCCAAATTTTTTTGATGATAGAAATTCCATCTTGAAATCACAGTTCAACAAAATTGTAGATCAACGCTGTAGTCTGTCTGCAGTATGTGTGGGAATACCTTTCTTAGAGCCAAATACACTTAATAATGGACAATGATCAGTTTACAGTATGAATTTTCTTTCTAATATCATCCTGTGAAATTTCTTTACAGCAAAAATTATAACCAAATTATATTTGACTCTAGCATTTTTCCGTATTTGTCAAACTTCTCGAAGCATGAGTGACTGCTTTCTTTGTACTGCATTCAAATTTATTGCTTATTACTGCACCTATTCACTTGCATCTGACGCTACTATTATCTGTTGATGTGGGTCGTAATGTGTCAGTGATAACTCTGAATTATTAAATTTTTAATTCCTTCAGAAGCTTTTTGACATTTTGCTGACCAATTCCATTTCATACCCTTCTTAAGTAAATTAAGGGGTGCTCTCAATTTGTACATCTCTGGCACATAAATATTATAATTTGCAAGAAATGATTGTAGGGTTACCAAATTTGTTGGGGAGAAGCACATCTTTAATGGCACTTGCTTGAGTGGGATCTGGACTTCCTTTTTTTGTCAATTATGTAACCTAAATATTTAATCTTGTCCACTTCAATTTGAAGATATGCCTCAGACAAGTCAATTTTTGAAAAGAATTCACCACCATTTAATTTGGTAAATATATCCTCTGTGCTAGGAGGCAGTCATTCAATCCAGTTGAAAAATCTTATTATTTCTCTTTCTAATATAAACTGCTGATGTGGTCTATGAGTAATCTATTTTTTCAATAACTGCGTTTTTCTAACCTGTCCAGTTCAGTGTTAATAGACTCTAACAGAGCAAAAGGTATATTTCTTTTAGACTAGTACCACATTTTCTTTTAATTTAGAAAATGCCTTTAACTTTGTACATTTTCCCAATTCCCCTGAGAAAATAGTCATGAATTTATTTTTTAGTTTATTCAAATCTTTTAGCTGTAATCTTTTTCTCTGACAAACAATCAATTTTTCCTCAGAATGAATTAATTGGCCAATTCCATAGTTCAAATAATTCTAGCCAATCAACGCCTAGTAAATTCAATTTGGAATTTTTTAATATGTAAACATCTGCTTTTGTTGTTCTAAGTAACTTTTGACCCATTTACCATCCCATTTTGTCCTTGTCCTGCCGTCTATTCACAACAAGCTTGTTTAGTAGGTTACTTGCCGATTCCTCTTGATTTTCTTCAATGTTTTCTTTCATCATTATGAGTCTCAGAATATTTAGCACATTTTTTGACTCTAAATATCATTTTCTTTGGAGTTCTCTTTCAAAATTTTCTTGTTGTTCACATACTTTATTCATAGTATTCACAGCATTTATCAGTAGAATCACATCTCTGTTGCTTCAAGTGTCTTCTTCACCTGAGAGATTGTTCAGCATTCATCACCATATAGGAGATTAGATATTATGTAGCTGTCCAGCACTCTTTTGCTTGTTTCTAATTACATTTTCCTGTCTCTTAATACTTTACTTAGTTTCAAAAAAGCAACTTTCACTATTACAATGTACCTTCAGATTTCTGTCACATTTTCCATTCTATGTTGCTACACTAACCAGATTGTTCAATTTCTTCAATTACTTGTTTTTGATATCCTCAATACATGGCGCACACCTTTGGCTGTCTCTTTTGCTGATGACATACATTCTGTCTTCTTATAGTTAGTCCTTTCTTTTTGCTTTTCTTTACTACATTATTTAATAGTTCTTTCAGTTTGCTTTCTCTGTCTGCCATCAATGTAGTATCATCCACATATCTCATGTTGTTAAGATTATGTCTACCAATAATAAATCATGGAAAGTCTTTTAGTTCTCTTAGAATTGTCTCACTGTACAGTTTAAATAAATCTAATGAGAAAATGCATTTTTGTCCTCCTCCATTTTGTATCCTCTTAGCTATATCAAGAAGATAAAACTAATAATATTACTAATTACCATATTACTAAATTCTTGAAACAACTATGTTTGTTTGTTCATACTTAATTTATATATTCATCATATTACTGACATTAATTATTTAACCTTTAACACTCTGTTGGTAACTATTTTCACAAAGCAAAATGTTAGTCCTGCCAATGCAAATTGAATTTGAATTTCTTGGTTGTGTAGTCATATCCTTCTATAGCAACACCTAAAACAATCTTGACTGAAATTGAGAACCAGGCTACTGCAATTTCAAATACATAGAACTAATATATAAAACACTATATTTTGATGGGATTCCATATACAGTAAAAGGGGCAAATAAGATTTATAAATAATGCAGAATGAAAAATCTTAATAGTAGAGATACCTGAATATTTAACAAGACTTCTAAATATGTAAACAAAATTTTTATTTATTCTTACTAATTTATAACCACATTTTGATATTTATAATAGTAGAAAATATCAAATATTTTTTCTGATTCACATGAAGGAAAACATTTAAGAGTTAAACATAAATTCTTATATACACGAGGTTGTACCATTTACAAACCATGTATGTAATACTAGCTAATATTATATAATTTTACAACCAACCAAATTATTAAAATCTATAAAGAAAGACTCGTACAGCTATGAGCATTTTGTGGAATTCACAGATTTTCACAATATTATGTGGAAAGTATTGAAGGAAGCAGAGATCAATTACCTTTCAGCAGCAACAGCAGCCAGATTGGCTCTTATTAACCTTTCTTCATTGCTGGTATCCGCAATCAAAGGACTTATCATCTTTCCAGCACCTTCATCTCGAGCTGAAGACTTCATGGATAATGTACCTTCAAAATCCTAAGGAAAGCAACAAAGTTTCAATACAGGATTTTGACTAACTGCATACATGAACAATCTGCATATCAGACAAAATAGACAAGACTGGTTGGTCTGGCTGTGATTGTATCATCCTCTTAAAAGAAAATCATATGCATATCTATATGCAATACATAGATATATGAAAACAATCAAGCTGTACTATAGTTTTCTTTATTTCATGCTAACCTATAGTGCAACTGAGGGCTATTTCAAATTTCATTGTTCCACTGGTGGTGGTACATTTTAGTTTGTTTGGATTTGTTGTATTTCACTGCTGTCATCGGCTTAAGAAATTCAAAGAAAAAGTAGAGATTAAGAGTATAATTAATTTGGCTGGAAAAGTTAATCCTCTTCATCTTGGTATATTTTTTGTCTTTTTTAAGGTCTTATTGCAATATATAATTAAGCAGAGTTTCAGATCGATCACCTTCAACCCCATTAATAAGGGTGTATGAAATGTTAGATACACTTTAATCTTTGAGTTAATCATCCGCTTTAAAACTATTTTAATGAAACAAAAACCATATTGGAACCAAAAAAAGTAATTTTAATTGCTTAGAAATTAAGTAACTATTCTTATGTTGACTTATTTTGTCATAAATATACATTTTATGATTAGAGAAGTACTTGGAAAAAAACTGACTCTTAAAAATGAGTAGTTTAGCAGTAGTGTTAGGATTAGCATTTAATATACCTTTTTTATATCTAAAAATATTGAATTAAATTTATTGAATTTAATTATGATATTAACTTTATATAAAAACATTCATAATAAATTACTTTTTCATTAATTTAAAAAAATAAATATTGCTCATATTTTATGAAAATAAAGTATGTTGAATTTTAGTTTACCATTAAAAATGGTAAACTAAACTAAAATACAACATATTTTTAAAAATACCTTTTAGAAAGAAAAAACTCAAATTACTCATAAAAAATTAAAATTTATCATCAATATATTTGTTGCTATGAATAACAATATCATAGAGAAAAATATTACATCAACTTTATGTGACAAATAATGGCATTTTTAAATAAATTTTGCAGTGTAAAAACAGAATCAAAGAAAAAAATCTTCAAAAGAAAAGTCTGTTAAAAATTAAACATAAAACATTACCTTTCTTGAAAGAGACTTTGTAATATTTGCAAGAAGAAAGACTAGAAAAAAATTGTATTAATAAATTATTTCTTTAATTCAATTAAAGTTAAAATGTCACATTTCGGTATAAGTGTGGTAAAAAGCAAACATTTCTTAAACCAACTACTGCAAACCCAGACTGAAACTAAAATGTGTCACTCCAAGTGGAATTATGAGATTTAAAATAGACCTCTAGTCCAGGCCCTCAGTAGCACAATGAGTTGGCCTGAAGTAAAGAACACCATGAGCTGTACCAAGACTATTTTATTTCTATTACAAAATCATTTTTGAAATATTGATGATTTTTTTCTAAATGACAACTATGGTACATTAAATTGTTCAGAATATACAAATGGGACATTGTTATTTTTTTCTAGAAATGCAGATGATAATTATAATGAATGAAAGAAGAATTTATAACAATGAGCAGTCATAGTAGTGAGAGTAGTGGCCACAGTAGTAGATTAGCAATTATCACTGCTGCTAAAGATCCACACAATATATAAAGTTCTCTCTGAAAGTAATGCTTCCTATTTTATTATGTTCATTGCAGGAGATATGGCATTAAAGGCTGAACCTTCTCAAGAATAAACCATAATTTTTTTTTACAGATAGTAACTGAGTAGCAATCTAGTAAAATGACATCTGGCATGAAAATGTATACATAAAAGTTGTATGATTCAATTTCTTCATTAAGAAAAAATTTTATCTGTTGACACTTGCTGAATATTTATACAAAAAACAAACAATGGATGTGAGCACAATTAGGTGGTGAATATTGTATTTATGCAATGGCAACAGCAATATGTGTGAGAAGCCACATTCTGAGCAGCTCTGTGCAGGGTTGTCTTCATCACTGGAAAAATGCATAGCCACTGGTGTTAATTAAAGCTGAAAACTTACTCTATATTGCACTCTCTGCATCTGCTGTAATATTTGTGGAAATAAATAAGAAGCCTTACTTTTGGAGCGTCCCTCATATATTGTTTAATTTGTTAAAATTAATGATAATCTTAGGCATGTCTGTGTAAGCATCTT